GTTCGTGTGCACGGAAAAAGATTAATTTATTCGTGAAATAAAAATGAAATAAAACATTAATAATTGAATATAGTTTTTTTAAATTTATAAATTATATATCTTAACAAGTGAAATTGAATATAATAGTAATATTTTAATGCATATTATATGTCATGAAAATTGATCATCAGAGGATTTATTTATAAAAGAAAATCATATAAATTTTTTTGAAAATAATCTTTGAAAATTAGAGTTGTATGTGTATCCGTGCATATGTACGTACGTATACGTGTATTATAAAGCTATTGAATTTTTACCTATATAAATAAATTTTTTAAAATTTACAATATTTTATTAAAATAAAAAATAGTATTAAAATTTAAACATTTTACTATATGAAAAAGCACAAATTCTAACACAAGCAGTAATATTTTAAATGTAATAGTCATGCTTGGCACAATATACAATTATTATTTGACATTAATATTTCAAAAGTTGATATTAATATTACAAATGCTATATATTCTACTTGTGTAAGCATAATAATTTATAAAAATAACAAGAAATATAAAAATAACAAGAAAATTATAATATGTAAAACAAGTCTATAAAAAGGGTGTAAATAAATTGAATTAAATTAGACTTTATCTTAAATAGATGCAAGAATATTTTGAATATGAGAATTTTTCTGTACAAATAATGTAGGGTGATTTTTTTGGGGTAATACTATCCATTATTCTCATTTTTTATTGTATCCTATTTATTTATTTTAACTTTATTTATTGTACTTTTGGATTGGACACATTTTCTCGGGGACACATTCTGCCATTCTAGGCATTCTGCTACAGTATTTACTAGTTTATAACCTTTTAATGGGACAAAAAAAAATAAAGATCAAACATCATGTAACAACCATAAATAATATATAATGTTTAAGAAAAATATTTGATATATTTATAAAGAAGAATTAAATAAGACAATAAAAAAATTGTTGTTTATCACTATGATGCCAAACACACAAAATAAAAAAAATATATATGGAATTGATAACAGAATTATATGTTGTAAATTACAATGATCAAAATAAAAGATATTCAACAATTCTCAATTAAAGCCTCACAAAATCCGTTTATGCAGTTTTAAACAACTCTAAAAATATAACTAAAACTAAGACACTATATTATAAAAAATATTGTTGGAATAAAAATCCCCAAAAAATAACTTCAAAATGTTAAAAACTATACATGCACATAAGATGCACATTCCCATATATAATTTTTATTTATTTTTTTTTTTTTGTAATCTACACAATTTTAATTTAACTTTATGTGCATCACACCTTTTTATCGAAAATACAACACTAATTTTGTCTTTTCCTATCACTTTATACATACAGTTCAATTTCATAACATAAAACATGTTAATCAGAACAATGAATTTGATAAATCCCAAAAATTTTATTTAGTGTCAAAATTTAAATTTAATAGATATATGCAAAGTTCTTTTATTAGAGAGAAATCTGGGTCTATGGACCTCTTCTACAGCTGAAATACATATCTCATGTCAAGTGACTATATCTAAATTTAATAGATATATATAATTCTTGTATACATGAATGACAACAACAACCATAGAGAATATGAAAGTGCACATTCAGTAATTCTAAAACCACCCGAATTCAATTTTCATCTATTCCAATCTCACAACTAAAATTTAGGGTTGCTATAGTGGTATCAGATGAAACAATATTAAATTTCCAACAACAACAGGAGAATTCAAACACATTAAATATCGCACAAACGATAAAAGTAAGCTAAAAAAAGCAGATATATATCGGCTTTTTCTCCATACCTCTATCCTTTTTACTCCACTCACAAAAGCCACACACAAAAAAAAATAAAAATCAAAAGCCCAACGAAAAATAAATTACAAGGGTATTTTCAAAAGGCAATAAAATCAAAAATCTCCACACACATTGCAACAAAAACAAAAACCATCACACAACCATAAGAAAACCAACAGAACCAACAACACCAAACCCCAAAGAACAACGGTCTAAGAAAAAAAGGCCTTACGATCTAAAACCCAAGAAACATGTTACCCCTTATAATTAGAGGTGACAAAGTGGGTGATTTGTTCTGTTCCGTCCAATTATCAATCAGCCAAAAAAATGAGTTAGAGTTTTTGAAAGTAGGCTAAAAAATGCGGCCCACCTTATTGGCCCGAATCTATTTTATACTGATCCGCCTCGTCCCTTCATGTCATTAATCCGCCAAAAAATGAGACACCTCACTCTACCCGCTTTTGAAATAGGTTGTAAAATTGAGCCTATCCTACTCTATTTGGCGAGTGAAACTAAATGGCCCGCCGAACTGAATATGTTTTGTCAGCCTACTTGCAACCATGAACAAAACCTCAAAACCAAAACCAGAAAAACGACAAAACAAAATGTAAGAATAGTCAAAATCAGGAACAGATCAGAGCAAGAATCACCCGCAGCGACACCTACCACGGTACACAGACACTAGTTCTACACATGTAAACCTTATAAGAAAAAATTTCAAAAATCACCCACAAAATAAAACAAAAATTTAACGCAGCCCACAAAGGAAAACATCAAGAACACACCCAATTTTGTACTTCTAAAGAAAATAATTTATAGATTAGTATTATACTTTTTTGCCGCACAATCCTAATTTACTTATTTTAAGCTTAATATCCACAACAACGTGCGCAATTTACTTAGATCTTTTTAGGTTTATTATATTAGGGAAGCGTGAGGTTTATGAGAATTCATTTACAGGAAATTGTTAAAGAAAAAACAATAATACTAGTATCTCAATCATTGATTCTGAAGTATTTGTCAATTTATATGATAATCATAAAGTTGATTAGGACAAAAACTTTAAATTAGAAATCGAAGAGCTGCGTTTTGAAATAAGGGACGAGTAAAATGCGAGGATGTCTAATTCCTAAAAAATACTATAGTTAAAAATCATATTATTTCTCCGAGCCATATTCACTCATGAGTTTGCTCAATTTTATTTTAAATAAAAAGTTAACAAAAAATTTAAAAATAAATTCTACATATAAAAATAATTAAATTACATGTATAAATGTGCTAATGTTGAAATTACACTTATTCGAAGTTCATATATGACCTTATCAAAAAGTTCATTTTTTTAGTATATCGAAAAATTCCCATATATTAAAGTTAATTTAAAATAGTAAAGAACTTACCTTACTCATGGTCAGTATTCAAAAAAAAAAATTTATAATGAAGATATTTGAATATTTTTTTGTTTATTGACTTACGTAGGTTACGTATTTACAGTACTAATACTATCTCAATTATTAATATGTTTGATTTATAGCTAGAGATGTCGTTTACTGAACCTGAAGCCACGTATCACGATTATTATATTTTATTTGATCCTTTATTGGATAATAATATATGATTCATTATTTTTTATATTAAAATATTTGAAATTTTTATCGTTATTTTTTTTAGATATTTGAGTATGTTTATAATTTTTTAATATAAATTATAGAATTGCATATAATTATCGGTCATACTATTCAACCAGTGATCTAGTACCTCGATCGGGCCAATGTGGCTGAGAAAAAGAATTGTGTATAACACATGGTGACTTTATATTTTGATAGAATAAAGGTAAAGTGTTTTTTCAATAGGTAATGATATACATATAAATAAAAAAAATTCTAATAATGAGAAAAAATATAAGTTATAACAGTTTTGTAGATTGTTTAGTGCGTGGGGGCTAGTAGCACTGAGTGCCATGATCCCTCCCCACCACGACACTCACACGTTTTTTTTTCTTCATGTGAGTGTCATGACTCTTTCTCCGTCACTCACACGATTGTGCCACTTGTTAGTCTTATTATCGTAAAACTTCGAAAGGCCATACTTTTAACTCAGGTATCTAAATCATATAATTTTTTTTATTTCACATAACTTTTCGAGATCTAAGCAATGATATCTCATTTGACGTATTTTATCGCTCACAAATATAATTCGAATTGTAACAATAGTACCACAAATATAGCTTCAAAGGCATCAAGTATGGCCAGCATGTTATCATCTATCCCTGCTTTGTTCCTTAGAGTTCTCTATTTTTGCTCCCACTTTTTCTTCGTTTTTTTTTTCTTCACAAAAACAAATTTTGAAATTAACTATTGTCTCGCAACTCTAATAGACCAAAATTCAATTAATTAAAATCCCAACAAAACTGATTTAAAAATCGAGGAAGCTAAACAAATCAAGAGTTTCTACCTCTTCTTGCCAAAATTTGGATTTAAACGCTCTTGTTATTTGGACTATATTTATATAATATAAAATATGTCAAATGAAATGTCATTGCATATATTTTAAAAAGTTACGAAAAATTAAAAATAAAAATCTGATATGAATACCCGAGTCAAAAATTACAACCTTCTAAAATTTTACGATAATAAAATTAATAAGTGGGAGAGGGGTTCCCGACACTCACACGAAGAAGAAAAAAAAAAACTTGTGACTACTATTAGGAGAGGAGTCGCGGCACTGAGAATCACTGGCCCCCCATGACACTAGCCCCCCACGACACTAGACAATTTCCATTAGACAATTCCTATTGGTAAATATCAAAAATAAAATACCAGATAAGAAAATTAAAAGGGTAAAAACTCAAATGGGTCAAAGAACCCACACGGTTAAGTGGTAGTTGATGAATTGTTTAGGAGATAAAGATCTTCTATATATTATGAGGTCCATAATTCGCACACTAGGAACACAGTAAAATAAATCCTTAAATGGGAGTCTAAAGGCCAGGCCAAAACACACGCGATCTTTTCAGATTAATGTACTCATCCCTATAATACAGACAACTTCACTCTTAATTAGAAACAATTAGACATGAAAAATTAAAAGAGAGAATTAAATTAGAAACAAAGGGAAAAAGGAGTTTAAGAAAAATAAGATAAAATAATATAAAACTAAGCCCTTGAATGGCGACCATATATTAAGCTGAACTCTTGAGCTGAATGACTATAACACTGATGTTGTCTTTGCTTCCCCGAGCCATAGCCAACTCTGCTAACAACGCTGCTGCCTCTGTTGCATAACTTTTAATTGAGTCCTCATCATCTAAATTCCTCCTTATTTGTCCATGGAGGCAACTTCTTACCACCTCACAAGCAAAACTGTTGGATACTACATCCCACAGACCGTCACTCGCTATTACAACAAACTCATCTGACTCTGTTCGTTCGTAAACATTGATCTCTGGTTGAGATATCACAAAAGGTTTCATGCAGTGATCCCCTGCATTGTGTAAAATTCTCCCTATTTAATTCATACTCTTCCACACACACTTGTTTAAGACAAATATTCTTATACACTCTTTTTATGTAACGTAAAATTGACTAGTAGTTTCTCAGAATTTAACACATAAGCTAGTCATATATCATATCATGCATGTATACGAGGAAGTGAGAAGTGAGGAGTACCTATGGATCTGGAAGTAGCAAGTACTCCTAAAACACGATTCCCGTTCCAATCAATGACTATTCCACCTGCTGCTTCTATCCTCTCTTTTTCATCTGGACGATCAGGCTGATTCAATAACCAAAATAAAATAAAAATATTAAACCAAACTATAATTTTATACTATTCACAGACGTACCAGTTCAAACATCTTTATCACCTTATGATCACGTGAAAGTGGCAAGGCCACACCGCCACGGCACAATACAGCTCTCGAGTCTCCACAATTCGCCACCACAATCTCCTCCTTCCCTACCACCACCACCGCCGCCGTCGAACCCATCGTGTTCCCGCTCATTCCCGCTTTATCATTACCACCACCTCCAATTTCCTGATCCATCTTCATGAAACAAGAACACATCACCTTATGCCAATCCAACCCACTCTCCCATCCCTCCTCCTTCACTTCATCTGCCAACAACACGTGCAACCTGTCACGGCAAGCATTCGCCACCATCGTCCCACCGTGACCGTCATAAACAGCGAAGAAATCGTAGCCGCCGCCAGAACAATTTTCAGCCGCCACAAAACCAGTAACCACCTTCACGGCGTCTTCCATGACTCTCCGCCGCCCTATCACTGATATGAAACCGTGTGATGCGGAGGAAAGTGTCTTGGTACAGTACTCATCTTCTCCGATGATGCTTGATTCTATGTTGGGTATCACAGCCACCTCACAAGAGGATAATCTGATGATGGGTCGCTTTCTCTTCCTTCGGTAAGTATCATAGCTTCGTTCAATTTCTTTAGATTTGTTGGTGGTGTTACTACTCTCCATGGTTTTAGATTTGGTGTTAGTGGAACTGTCTATTTCTTCAGATTTGGTGTTAGTGGTACTCTCCATGGAACGCTTCGATTTATCACCTTTGTACTTCTGCATGTGTTACTATTACAAGAATCTGAGGTCACATATTCAAAGAAACAACATCTTCATTCTCTTTTTCTTCCGATTATAAGTTTGCTTCTTCTCACGGGAAACTCTTGCTTGTGAAATCCTAATCGTACATCTGTCTTTCGAAGTTGGATTATCTGACAAAAACGTGGACGGCTCAGATTTTTCATTTTCATACGTGGCACCCTCCTGGAAAGACGATGGTATTGACTAAGGTTAACTGGAAATGAATCTCTAGTGTATAATTTAACATGATCATATTATATAGAAGATTTTAACTATTAATAATTAAATTAATAATTGTGTAATTTTCTATCCTTATATTTTTCTCTCTCCTTCTTTATTATCATTAACTCATCTATATATGATTATAATTGCTCCACATAATATAATCATATTAATTAACACATAAAAAAATTCACTCCCAGTTTAAATAGTTTGAGAGTTAGAAAAATTAGTACTGCAACTTAATTGCATAAAGGCTAATAAACTCAATATTAAAGAAGTGGCGGCACAGTTGCCAACGGTTTGATCCGCACGAGGGTGTGAATTCAAATTTCTGTGGATTTAGGTTAGTGATATATAATTTCTGGGAAAAGTGTCTATACTTTTAAATTACACAACTTACATCCTTTCACTCTCACAAAGAGGTGGGACCCACAACTTTATTTTTTTTGTCAACTCTCTCTCCTCCTTTATCTATCTCTTTCTCTCTCTTAAAATGACACAACTTTACATCCTTCAAAATTATACACACTTTTCCCATAATTTCTTTTCAAAATCTTTAAAGATGTTATTAGTGAATTTTTTCCGATCCTAGTGAGATACCAATATTTACTCCATTTAAATTTTTAATTACCAAAAGAAATTGCTATTTTAAACAAAAAATAAATTAGTGAATAGGGTAACAACATCATGGTTGTATGGAATTTGATCATTTTTTTAGATAAATAAGTATTTTTAAATTATTTTTGACATTTAATCTGTTTGTTCTCGATAATAAGCTTGATTTTGTATATATAAAGATGAATTTAATATTTTTTCTTTTGTCAAATTTTTTATTTATATTTATATTTTTGTCAAATTTTTATTTATACCATATTTACATAAAATTTAATGGATCCTATCATAAAAAGAAAAATAAGACCCATTAATTTTTATATGAATATAGTAGAAAATATTTTTCTGCAACAAAACCATATATTTTTCCTATCTTTTTATTTTTTATTGCAAGTAAGGATTGCTTTGGGGGAGAAATAATAATTCAGCTTACCATGTCGGTTGGGCTAAAATGACGTGTTCTCGCTATCACATGCAACGTGGCAATTTGAATGACAGCTTCTTTGGCTCTCTTCAAGGGAAATACGTACCACTATCTCATGCCGAACATTGTATTACAGTAATCCAAGGATCAAGGGCCTACAAGAAACCATGTATTGCCTGTATTCAGAATCTCCGTTCCACCAGATTCTTCTAAGACCATCATACATGGAAGTCTCATTACTTACTTTAACATCAACTTTTTAATTAATGTACACACTCTGTTTTGAAATTTAAGAGACAACGGTATAGTTAATTTAGACCTTATATTTTCCCCCAAATGATTCTAATTAATTTACATTTCAATAAAACAAAAAAAATTGTTCGTTCTAGTTACAAATAAAACAGAAATTTTAGTATTTTGTATGAGAAATATTCAAGATACATTGTCCTATCAAGAAGGTTGGTGCAAACCAACAATTTCAAAAGGCAGAAGCTGCAGGATTTTGGAAGAAGCTGAAATGCTAAGATTGAAAGGTCTTGTTTTTAAAATACAGTTTTATTATTTATTTTTTAAAAAAATCAAGAACTGAAAAAGAAAAGTTGAATCTTTATAATTATAATAAAAACATGTAAGAAAACAGAAAATAATCCAAATACTCTGGAGTATTTAGTTCTCCATAAATCCTTAACAGGGTGTTATTCAAACATGCGTATGCTATGGCTAGAGGGAACAAATGTGGCAGATGTCTTAGTCAAGGAACTGCCAAAGAACTTTGTATTATGTTGTCTTCATATCTCTTCTCCCTAGATTATGTTTTGCTTTGGGACAACATAAATGGCTTGTGCAGACATTTTCATGTTAGCCTTCCGGGTATTCTGCTACAGTAGTTACTAGTTTATAACCTTTTAAGGGGGAAAAAAAAAATTCATGATCAAACATGTAACAACCCTAAATAATATATAATGTTTAAGAAAAATATTTGATATATTTATAAAGAAAAATTAAATAGGACAATAAAAAAAATTGTTGTTTATCACTATGATGCCAAACACACAAAATAAAATAAAAATTGAATCGATAACAGAATGTTGTAAATTACAATGATCAAAATAAAGGATATTCATTTAAAAAAAAAAATAAAAAATAAAGGATATTCAACAGTTGTCTCAATTAAAGCCTCACAAAATCCGTTTATGCTGTTTTAATTAACTCTAAAAATATAATTAAAACCAAGACACTAAATTATAAAAATATTGTTGGAATAAAAATCCACTAAAAATACTTCAAAATGTTAAAAACAATACATGCACGTAAGATGCACATTCCCACGTACAATTTTAATTTAACTCTATGTACATCACACCTTTTTATCGAAAATACGACTCTAATTTTGCCTTTTCCTATCAATTTATACATACAGTTGAATATCATAACAGAAAACATGTTAATCAGAACAATGAATTTGATAAATCCCAAAAAATTTATTCTAGTGTCAAAATTTAAATTTAATAGATATATGCAAAATTCTTTTATTAGAGAGAAGTCTGGGTCTATAGACCTCTTCTATAGCTGAAATTCATATCTCATATCAACTAACTATATCTAAATTTAATAGATATATATCATTCTTGTATACATGAACGTCAGCAACAAGCATCACGCATTTAAAGTGCACATTCACTAATTCTAAAATCACATTTATGATAAGGAATTCAATTTCATCAAGTCCAATCTCACAACTAAAATTCAGGGTTGATATAGCGTCATCCTATAATGCACCGACACGGGACACGACATGACACGACACTCTGACACGTAAATTTTAAAAAATGTCATGTTTCAACACGTTAGGACACGTTTGATATTAAATAATATTTTTAATATATATATATATATATAATATGATTTACATTTAATACATATAGCAGCACACAATAAGTCATATAATCAATCAAATACTCAAATTTCATAACATAAATATAAAGCAAAAATAATAAAACATCCAGAGTGTAGAGTGAAAACTACTCACAAGTTCAATTATTTTCATCTCCATCCTGAAGAATCATGGCCTCTTTCTCTGGCTCATTAAGTAAAAGACTAGCAACTTGAAGATCTCCAACATCATCAAGTGAATCAAATGTATCTCCAGCAATGTCCCACATTTGATTTGCTCCTTGTGCATAACTAAGGCTCTTTCTTGATAAGAGTCGAAGATTGCTATGCACATAAACCAAGTCTTCAACACGCTTTGGAGTGATCTTATTCCTCTTCATGGAATGCAGAAAAGAATAAGTACTGCAATTGCGTTCATCACATGATGAAGAGGAGGGTTGTTGCATAAGTCTCAATGCTATCTTTTGAAGCATCGGTGTAAAAGTACCATAAAGTAGCCACCAAGCTTTTGGATCCATAGAGTATTGAGTATTGATGACATCAAAATCGCCAAAGGTTCCAATATTGCTAATAAAATCTGCATACTCCAAACTAAACTTGTTTCGGTCATCCATGCTAGGAAAGAATCTCCTTAAACATTTTTGTCCCTCTTGAGTAAGTTCTAAATCCATATGTGGAGGAACTCGACTAGAATCTCCCTGAAGCCATTGTCGACTATAGTATCTAAAAGAGAAACAAACAAAATTAACATTTTTTTCATACATATGGTATTAATTAATGGGGGCAAATATACTTACTACTGAAAAGTTTTACTGCTTTTACTATTAAGTTAATCACTGTTAATTTTCGTCAATCTAACAGCTATAATTTATTGAGAATTAATAATTAATTAATAAGTGTGACCCAATAAATTATAACCGTTAGATTGGTGAAAATCAACAGTGATTAATTTAGTAGCAAGAGTTGTAAAAATTTTCAGTAGTAAATATAACATTTCCCATGAGGCGGCTTTTTGACCCTTTTACCCTTTATTAATTAATTAATAACCATTTTGTCCTTCATTCAAAATTATCTATCAATCTGCCCCTCTTTAATCAATTAAGTTGAAGATTTAATCCATTAAATGATCAAAACTGACAAAAATGATTGAGTTGAAGATTTAATCAATTAAATCTTCAATCCAACACTCAACGGGCAACAAAACTGGCAAAAATGTTCAAACCTCAGCCACATCGAGATTGAGGTCATCCATGATTCTAGATTGAGTAGGGGATGAATATGCCACCTGCAAAATTAATTACTACTCATGTGACAGTAGTCATTGATGGATTTGCCTATTTAACTATTTTTCAAGAAAATATCACATAACCTCGTTTGTTTGTTTTTGGTTGCACAGATTCAAAGAGAGAATGATTGCTGGAACGGACATTGGTGAAAGATAGCATTGGAGAAGAAGAATTATTGGAGAGCAGCAGAAGGCATGGAGATTTCTTTGGTAGTGAAGTGCAAAACGAAGTTCGGCGATAGAAGAAGGTGCTTTGGTGCTGGCTTGTTCTTCCCTCCAACTCCAACTAGCCGGTCTCACCAACTAGTTACTGTCCTGATTCCCTTCTTTTTCTTTTTTATTTTATTTTTATTTTTTCGTTGCTTGAATTGATTGTTTTGGTTCCTTCTAATATTCACTCATGTTTTTTTTTTTTTTTTTATCGTTTGCTTCATTTGTTTGTGTTTTGATTTAATTTCAGTTTTATATAAGTAATAAAAAAACACTTGATGTCAAGATTGAGGCTGACGAAGAAGAGGCAGTTGAGTTTTTCCAAGAGAAAAAAATGGAGGTAGTAGATGCTAATGATGTAATTCTTGAGGAGGATGGTCAATTATCGTTGTTACATGAGACACTGGGTGTTGCTCAAAGAAATCAAGGTGAGGAAAATGGAAAAATTTCTGTAACTGATGAGGAGGATGTTCTAAACACTTCCGCCACCAGGGGTAATGGAAATGTTAAAAATGCTACTGTTGGAGATTTAATCGATTAAGTTGAAGACTTAATCGATTAAATCTTCAAGTCAATTATTTTTGTCTGTTTTGACCATTTAATTGATTAAATCTTCAACTTAATCGATTAAAGAGGGACAGATTGGTAGATAATTTTAAATGAGGGACAAAATGGTTATTAATTAATTAATGAAGGGTAAAAAGATCAAATACCTCCCATGGGGCGGTTATACTTATTACTAAAAAGTTTAACTACTAAATCAATCACCGTTAGTTTCCGTCAATCTAACGGTTATAATTTATTGAAAATTAATAAGTGTGACCCAATAAATTATAATTGTTATTGGTGAAAATCAACGTTGATTAGTTTAGCAGTAAGAGTTGTAAAAATTTTCAGTAGTAAATATAGCATCTTCCTTAAAGGGGGTCGTTATACTTATTACTGAAAATTTTTACTACTATTACTACTAAACTAATCACTGTTAATTTTTAACAATCTAACGGTTATAATTTATTAGGAATTAATAATTAATTAATAAATATGACCCAATAAATTATAACCGTTAGATTGGTGAAAATTAACAATAAAATTAGTTTACTAGTAAGAGTTATAAAAATTTTAAGTAATAAATACAACATCTTCACTTCTTGAAGTATTTCCCATACAATTGGTTCTTTTTCCCGAATTTTACTCTTCGCAACCCTTATATTTGAGGCTAATTGTTTTCGAATTAGACCACAAATGACAAATGTCTGGAAAAGCTCTATTGCTATTAGCTATCGTCCTACCAAAGAAAATATTCTTATGGTAGGCCCTGTTCCTGGTCAGAAATATAGTGAAATCACTTTTCCTATTCTTTCCCCCCGTCGTTACTTGGACTAAAAAACAAGTAAGTGTAATTCCCCCTAAACAATAAAATATGTTGACAACCGTTCTTTTTTCTCTGACAGATGGTCAGAACGTCATCTGGGGTCGAATCCTACTGAGAGGTCCACTAGAGATCATAAATTGTTTCCCATTCCTATTTCTGAAGTGTTTCTTTATATTCTCTGTCTATTTTTTATGTTTAGTACCAAGTACAAAGAATTTTCTGAATATGTCCCGTAATAAACCCAATTGTTGCTGATACTTTCTTCCTGGTCCCTTCTTCGATAACCCGAGCTCAAATAAGGAAGAGATACGACTGGAACAAAGGGATCAAAACCCTCCACACCCCATGCGGGATTTACGGATTGTACCCTTCCGGTTAGTCCATAAGGGTCGGACACCCATATTGTTTCATGCTTGTTTGGGTAATAGCAATGAGATTCCCCAATATCATGCTAAGAATAGCTAGGATTTCCAGAAGAAGATGCCATTCGTTTGATGAGAAATAAAAAAAAAGGGTAAAAATTTCTCTCTTATCTGTGAATTCGAATTCTTTTTTGAACAATTGAAAAGGTTAAGTCGGAACTGCTTGGCGTTGCATATTAGAACTCATTAAAGCCCGATTCACATCATTATGCTCAATAAAAGGAATGAGGGAATATATATTCGTGTCTGTTCACAACACAAAGTACGAATAGTAATTGATAATTTTTTTTGATAAGGAGTTAGGATACTCAAACTTATGCTTTAGTGATTTTAATATCTTCTTCTATTTTTTTTTATACAGCAGGAAATAGAAATATTAGTCACAATATAGATTTCAACAAACTAAGTCAATGAGTCATAAAGATCTATTTATATATAAATAAGAAAGGCACGCCTTATTATCCTTACTACTTTATAAATATACTGAATTACTTAAGAAAAAAAACTGTATGAATAAAAAAAGAAAGTATAAAAATAGGACATATCATTTTATGTATAGTAGTGGTCTCAATCAGAATACTCGTTATTACTGTTCATATGTTATGATTTGAATATACCACACCAATTCGTTATGTATGGATGATGAGATTCCATTGATACAGAGCCAACCGTTCTTTTTTCTCTGACAGATGGTCAGAACGTCATCTGGGGTCGAATCCTACTGAGAGGTCCACTAGAGATCAGAAATTGTTGAAGAAAGAACAAGATGTTTCTTTTGTTCTTTCCAGGCGATCGGAAAAGAAAGAAATAGTTAATACTAGAATCGGATAAAATTCATAAACATAAACAAAATATCTGGAGACATCCTTCAAAGTATTAAGTTAATGGATATCAATCTATATTGATTGACTGCCTCCATTATGTTCTTGCTAGCAAAGACCACTATTTTTGGCTTTGGATCTTCCAAATCATTCCCGCAAGAGGTCCGGACCCATTTTTTTATGATCCTTCGATAAAAAGATTCATTCTCTTCATAAAAAAGAGGAGGTAGAACCAATAAAGATTTTTTTTTCGATTCATCCCTGGAGTTGAATACCTCATTCAAGAATTGTTTTTGATCCAATCCGGAGGAATCAATACAAAAGGCAAATCCCAGGTACTATTTCACCAATCGAGTCACAGGTATCTAACATATTGATACCTAACGATTTTCCGCAAAGTGGTGACGAAGGGTATAACTTGTACAAATATTTCCATTTTCCAATTCGATCCGATCCATTCGTTCGTAGAGCTATTTACTCGATCGCAGACATTTCTGGAACACATCTAACAGAGGGACAAAGAGTCCATTTTGAAAGAACTTATTGTCAACCTCGTTCAGATATGAATCTACCTGATTCAGAAGGGAAGAGCTTGCATCAGTATCTATTTATATGAAGAAGCAATCCTGTAACGGGGGGGATTCTTATTTGTACAATTGGTACTTCGAACTTGGAACGAGCATGAATAAATTAACGATACTTCTTTATCTTTTGAGTTGTTTTGGGTCATATGGGATTTCCCTGTTCTCTCCCCCGATTGAGATATCCTCCCTTTCACCCCGGATTGATTTAATCATCAAAAATTTGGAGCGTGAAGTGTAATTAGATCGATTTTTTTTATTTTTTTTTGGGGGGGGGGGGGGGGGGGGGGTATTGAATAGTTAGTTGATGATATTTTTCAGTTTTTGCTGCTTCCATGTTGAGCTGTTCAGCTATGTGGGGCTATTACTGATTTGATTAATAAGGTCTCACAGAACAACGAGGCTTTTCTATCTTCCCTGTCATTGTTTCATATTATCATGGGAATCTTTTTTTGTCCCTAACGTTACTATGCTCAAGGAGAAGAGTTTTGCTAAGAAGACATGTGGTAAGTACAACAGGCATTACTTGTCTACAAGGTGACTTTCCCACACGACATAATTTGCTCTGGGTTTGAACGCTCAGGGTTAATGTTCATGGAATCAAGCATATTCTTTCGGTATCAAATTTGGAAAAGTTACACATTGCAGAAACAAGTATGACTTGTTCAAACTTCTTATCTGTCTTAAAATCTTGTCTGTTCTTTACTTGGGTAATTTTCTCGTTATTGATCGGTCATTAAGTTCATTACAGGCATTTATTAGATTGATTAAGACTCTTCTAAAATAAGTTTGTCTCTAAAATGAACAAGTAATGGTGTATTCACCATTGATTTAATGTAAAGTACTTTGAGATATTAATCAACAAAAATTCAAGAATAGACACATATACTTGTTCACTTTAGAGACAATCTATAAGAGTTTCTTTCTCCTGAGGTGAGACATTGTTTGGTGCATGATTTTGACTTTTATTTCTAATATATAGATTTATGTACATCATTTGTCATGTTCTGCATCTGAACTCAAAGTAACTTCATGAGAACATCATTATTTAATGCTTTATTTCTTTCTTGATTTGTTATGGTTTCGTATTTAATTGGGATCAGTTGCCTACTTTATTCTAAGTTGTTAGACTCTATTATGATTTATGAGTACTCAGGCAATTCAAAAATTTCATTACTGTTGTGTACATGTAAGCATCCAGTTCACACCCAATCTCTGGTGTCCTCTAAATTTTGCTTTAGGAGTGTGTTGACAGCTCAGAAATAATTTTTATTTCTTTTTACTATCTCCTTTTACATTCACCCCATCTCAGGAACTAAAAAGGCTGCATTATCATCTCTGACCGAGATTGTAAAATATCAGATGAAGGAAATGCTATTCTCAATTAGTTTCCCAAGTTAAACCATCTAAATATTGCATAGACCAATGTCACAAAGTTGCCTATAATCTTTTGAATGCATAAACACGGGTAATTGTACTATTGATTCAATACTTGAAGATGACGAATGTACTTTGGAAATGCCTAATCTCTTAGGGGCTGCATTCCTAGATAACGCTTAGCTATATTATAAGTAAATACAAACTTCGTACCCACTCTGGATGTAACCCATTCTTGCCTTTGTAGATTCTTCTTTATAAGTAACATCAAAGTAATACATCTCAAAACTTAGCTTGTGCATGATGCATGCTCAAAGTTTTGTCATATACAGCAATGGATGACCCTACCATCACATATAGGTGCCAGATTAGGGATATTAGAGGTTGACCGCCTCGGAAGTTACAAAAATGAGATAGGGCGTATTGCCTCACTTTACAGAAAATGTTAAAAAAAAGAAAAAAATTAAACAAAATATTTCTCCCATAGATTTAAGTCAAAATATCAAAATAACATAATACAAGGAAATTAGTCATGGAATTACAACCATAATTACAAAACAAACAACACTAAGTCCATCAGAAAAACTAAATTTATAAACAAATAAGTCAATCCTCCTCCTCATCGAGGATATTGGATGCTTCCTTTGAAAGATATTCCACACTTAAAATTTCATCCTCTTCATCATCATCATCTACAAATCACAATACAAAAAATAAAATCAAAAAATTGACAAATAATTATTATTATTCAAAATAATACTATAATTGCATTGAAATTAAACAAATTACCTAGGTTAACAAAACCATGCAGCCAGTTGCGAGCACAAATAGAAGCTTGGATATTTTTTGTCATGCGACGACATTTATATTTGTTAAAGACACGTGCACCAATGCTAAATGTAGATTCAGAACCCACTCTTATAATGGGAATGCTTAACAAGTCTCGAGCCATTAATGATAGATCTGGAAAGCGATAATTATTATCCTTCCACCATTGCAATACATCCAAATTTTCATGATAATCAAAATTCAAATTTGGTTCATCCAAATAAACATCAAGTTGAGACCTTCCGCTTTTAGTTGCAAGCTGCTGATGGTGCATTTTGAATTCCTATCATATTTGACAAGTAAAGCATATGAAAAGAAAAGCAAGATAAAGTTTAAAAAATATTCAATATAAAGCAAATATAATATCAATTCAAAATATGCATAAAATTACCTGGAATATTCCTTCACTTATTTCCTTGAATTTCTTTTGTATGCTTGAAGATTGAGTTGGAACAGCACTTTGAACATTGGAATTGGAAGAATTGTTACCTGAATACTTCTCAAAGAGCATGTACAACTTTCTCCTTATATGTTCAAGCGTTTGGTCAGAAGCAGCTGAATTAACTTTTGAGAAGCAATAAGCCAATGAAGAAAGCTTCATCCGTGGATCAAGAACAGCTCCTAGTGCAAGCACAACACTATACTCATCCCAATATTTTTCAAACTTTACTACCATCCTTTCAGCCATGCTTTTTATAACTTCATCTTCATCACTTAAAGTATCATTTAAAACACATTGAATTTTCCAAACCAGCAAAAAATACCAATTGGAAGTAGGATAGGATGTGCCACAAATCAAGTTGGTAATATAATAAAATGGTAGCAATAATTCACAAATTTTTTCACCTCTTTTCCACTCTACTAACGAAGGACAATATTCATAACTTTTATCAATCAATTGGAGACTTGCAAATACATTTTGGTATTTGAGAGCACTTTTAAGCATCAAATAAGTAGTATTCCATCTAGTAGGAATATCTATACGCAAGCCAATTGTTGAAGTGTCAACACCATCAATTTGTTCAATGCATTCTTTAAATTTTGTCAATCTACTCTCTGAATTCCTCAAATAATGGACACTCTCTCTTATTTTATGCACAACATCGCCAGCTACTTCCAGCCCTTCTCGAACAATCAAATCCAAAATGTGTGCAAAACAATGCACATGAAAAAACTCTCCATCACATCAACATCAACATCAACATCAACAACACCTTTATCCCAAATTAATTGGGGTCGGTGGTAGATGAACCCACATGAAAGATACAAAACGGTTGAAAAAAAAAAAAAAAAAAAAAAGCCAAAAATAAATAAATAAAAATAAACAAATAAAATAAAAATATAAAATAAGATAAAATAAGATAACAATATATGTATATATAAATAAATAAAAGTAAAAAAGAAAGGGACAAGAAGAAGTGGGGAAAAGGACTAAAAAGGGACCATCTGGAACATAGGAATAACAGCGGGTCTAACCCTCCACCATACTTATAGCTTTTCTCCATTCCGTTCTAAGACATATTGTCCGCCAATCTATATCCCACTCCATTAAATCTTGTTTTACTACTTTCCCCCAAGTAAGCTTCGGCCTACCTCTGCCTCTTTTTGTGTTGAGCTCTTGGTAACAAACTTCTGTTCTTACAGGAGCATCCATGGGTCTTCTCATCACGTGCCCAAACCACCTCAATCTATGTTCTCTCATCTTCTCGGCTACCGGTACTACTCCGACCTTTCGTCGAATATCTTCATTTCTTATCTTATCCATCCTTGTGTAACCACACATCCACCTTAACATCCTCATCTCTGCTACTCCCATCTTATGCTCATGTTGCCTATGTGCTGGCCAGCATTCTGCTCCATATAGCATTGCCGGTCTTACTGCCGTTTTATAGAATTTTCCTTTTAACTTCAGGGGGATTTTGCGGTCACACAAAATGCAGATGCACTGCGCCATTTCATCCACCCTGCTCTGATTCTGTGATTTACATCCTCATCAATCTCTCCACCGTTTTGTAAAATGGAGCCCAAGTATTTAAAAGCATCTTTTTTGGGTACCTCTTGACCATTTAGATGCACAGGTTCTTGGTCCTCATCTCGTACCAGAGAAAACTCACACTTCAGATACTCAGTCTTGCTTCGACTTAATGTGAATCCTCTGGATTCCAATGTGCTTCTCCACAATTCAAGTTTTCTATTAACACCCTCCTTGCTCTCATCAATAAGCACAATATCGTCTGCAAAAAGCATACACCATGGCACTTCCTCTTGAATATCTTTTGTTAGTTCATCCATAACTAAGGCAAAGAGGTAAGGACTTAGAGCCGACCCTTGGTGTACACCTACCGTGATAGGAAAAAACTCTCCATCACATAACAACCAATTTTCCGAAGCAAGTTGATTTTTTAAAGTTTCTGGCATATTGTCTTCGGGAGATGAATCATCCAAGGTAATAGAAAGAATCTTCTTCTCTATTTCCCAATCCTTCAAAATATCAAGTAACATTTGAGACAACTCAAAGTCAGGATCAAGAGGAGGTATGCAAAAATTGAGAATTTTGCTATTTAACTTCCAATTTGTGTCAACAAAATGAGCAGTCAAACATATATAACCAGGGTTAGGACAAGATGTCCAAAAATCAAAAGTTAAGCATATTCTAGTAGGAATGCTAGCCATTATTTGTTTAAGCTTCTCCTTCTCTTTCTTGTAAATATTTAAGACATCGGCCACAATCATATTTCTAGAAATAAGAATAGCATCAGGATTCAGGTAATTTACCCATCTCCTAATCCCCTTCAACTCAAAAAAGTTAAAGGGCAAACCCAGCTCAATGATCAAAGCAACACCCATCTCACGAACTACCCTTTGATCTATTTGTTGAGACTTCAATATCCAACCATCCGATGTTGTTGATTTAACCCTTTTCTTACAAGGGCTAATATGAGATTCTTCTTCAATCTCATTGTCCAAATTTTCCATATCAACACCAATAGGGCTACTGTCTGATTCCATTTTGCAATTTCAAATTACAAACAAAATATGTCCACTGCAAAACAAACGATCACAACCAAATCATAAGAAAAGTAAATTATCCTCGGTCATAGCAGTACAAGTCAAGACAATATATCTTAATGGATACTGAAAGACGAGATGTCTCAGCCACCATATATTTCAAAACGAATAGTCACTTTAATTGCAGAATCTCAAAATAATTATAGAGACTATGAGTGCAGGAAATATCAGAAATAAGATCTCATTCCACATGATCATAATCTCAATATAATTGTATGTTATTCTTTTCTTCATGTAAGTTAGAGGACAAATTCTGGTACACTTGTTAACATGGCAGCCACTAACTGCGTGCTCCACGTCTCGTGACAATGCAAGTGAAAATTTCATGAGCATACAAAATGCTCTTATAAATATCTAAAAACTTACAAGCCTATATCAAGCGAGGTCTCATTACGCACAAAGACCTAGCATTACCCCATGAAACAATGTAGAAGTTCTGGTAGTCATAGATAAAACTAACAACAACCAAGTCTTACCTCGTATGTCAATGGGGTTGGCAATGACTCAACCTCTGGTTCGACCCCACCAAGGACTTGCACTCCTACTTTTATCTTCTGGAACCAACACCAAGTTGTGTGAGCACCTATTATCCATGTTAAAATGCAGTCAAAATCGTAAATAAATAAATAAATTAGCACATGAGTAATTAAAATTAGTGATTCTGTTCCCAGGGTTCCATAGAAACAAACAAATAAATAAAGGAGAGAATGAAATCTGTTTCCACGGGCTTGAAAAAAGCTGTTACGAAAACACGAAATTGCATGCTTTTATTAGTTGTTTCTGTGTCCCCACATTGGGTCACACAAAAACAAACTCATGGAAAAAAAGAAGAAGGAATGTTGGGTAATTTACTACAATACTCTTTAAAATGGGTCTTTTTAGCGGAAAAGAGAGGTACAGAAAGTGAGACACAGATCTTTTTTAAGAAAACTGTTACCAAAAAGTGACAGAGAAATGAGAAGCACGTACTGTGTTGTGGCAAATGGCGAGTGGCGAGGAAAGGAAGGGATCGTCTACTCGTTCTCTATGTCGCGAGGAAGGAAGGAGTCGCCGGCGGGAACTTGCGGAGGCGGGGCGGTACGGAGGGAAGGGGAAAGGGGTAGTGTTTGTGTGTCCGTATATGGCTCTGGGAAGGTAAAGAAGAAAAAGGAAAACCATAACTTAACCCAAAACCCACCTTCATCAACTAGTAAAAAGCCCAAAGGGTCCATTTGACCCGACCCATCTCATCAGTCATCATATCATGTTACAAGAGGCGTAAGGCCCAAATTTAAATTCAGGCTTTACAGCCCATGATATGGGTACTTGTGTCTGGTTGCATGCTGCTCTTTCTGCAGCCATGCGTGGAGCCTTTTTATATTTACTATTCACTTATTCAATGTCACGTTACCCCAAAACTTTCAACCGCTGTATGGTGTAGGAAGAATTGGTTGTGTGCTTGTAAACATTCTCATACGTGAAGCTAAAGATACTTTCTTTTCTGTACCAAAAAAAAAAAAAAAAAAAAAATTCCTTTTTGCATTTTTTTTTTATTTGACATTTATTGTCATGCAATTCTAGAAGTTGATTTTGAAATCCATCTCATCTATTTTCCTAAAATATTGTAAAACTTTATCTTTAATTATGAACAGTAATTCAACTTATTGTGTGTGTATTGCATCAATATGTCGGGAGGTTACAGCTCATTTGCTTGTATTTTGTGATTTTGTCTTGTGAAATTACCTTGCACAATCAAATGATTTTTACTGGGCACAATAAATTTATATATCTATTTTCACTTCAAGAAATTTAGGTTGTCACACTAGTGCAAGCATACGTGTCATATTAAGAAGTTTGATCGTTGACTTGTTAGCTAAAGGATTTGATCTCTATTCTTTTTAGATGACCTGTGTTTGTGCATTGAACTTTATTCTCATGTCATGCTGGGCCGTGGAATATATCTGTATAGGAGGATCATATAAATGTGTGAAAAAAATTTCCCACGGATAAAAACCTTCATACTAATTAAGCATTTATATTATGTAATTGCATCAATCTCACCTTCTTGCGGTGTTTGTGTGAAGCAATAAATTCAACTCAAAATCTTAGTTGATAAGTAAAGGTCTATAAGTGATTTTTAATATCATAAAATAGGAAGCAAAGAGAATTAAATTATGGACATGTAAATCAATTCAATCCAAAAATTGATGCGAGTAAATGAAGACTTTTTTAATAATTTTATATTTCTCTATATGCATTGCATTTAGTTATAATAATGTCGCTTCAAGCTACCTTCATGTTCTTTGAATTATTTTTTGCACCAGAGATGGATTTTTTAGGACTGGTCTCTCTCTGTAATGGCTCTACAATATCTTAAAACATTCAAAAAGTTATATATGTAGCATGAGGTAAGATATTCTTACTACTAAATATTTCTATTATCACTTTAATCAATGTTGGATCCCACTTTTCAACTGACAATCTATCTGAAAAGTTTCTGAAGAGAGAAGAAAAACAGCTTTTAATATATTCTCTGGAATATATAATTTATATTAGAGTGATAGTGAATTCATAGTAAAAACATTTGGTAGTAAAAATATCTTACATCTATGTATCAAAAATTCTTCACTTGTAGGTATCTCACTTCTCTATTTATCCTCAATTCCTAAATTAAAGAATAAAGTGATTTTGACAAATTTTGTGCTTAATATGTTTCAATTTCGGGCAATTCTAAAACTGATGGACCTCGGATTGTTGGCTGTTAACTAAAGACGCTTTCTTACCATGTTTCCTTTCAAACAAAATGGACATACTTGATACTCTCCATCTCCATTTTTTTTTAACTTCAAGGACCATGCATGCAACGGTGATAGCTGTGTAACTTTTCATCCATATATTTTTTTTATCTCTTCCTTATCATCATTAATTTATTCATGTATAATTAGAATCCTCTTACATAACATGATTATATTAAGGGGATGAATTTTCTTATGTTGCAGTTGATAACACTATTTTCCAGCAGATATAAACGGATGCGGGTCCCATCATTTATGATTAAAGAAAATAAAAAACAAAAAACTCAAAAATCAATCTCTCTCTGCAAGAATTACTGTTCACATTCCTGCGGATGGAGAATTGTATTTCCGTTATATTAAATAACACACAAGAATATCCACTCTTTAATTTCTACCATCTGTGCCTCTTATTGGTGACCAGTTCGATAAGGTCACAACGATGTAATCTGTTTCCTTTCTTTACAAGGTTCTGGTCCCGTGTTACCACAAATTTTAAAAAAACACAAGTAACCATTTCCCTAAAATCATCACTGGACCGAATAAATTTTCATTGCCATTATAGGAGAAGGGGATTGATATCGTCTAGAGTTTTTAAAAACTGTACGGAACCTCAACTACAAAAACGTTTTATTATATTGTAAAAAAGAAAAAAAAAAGAAAAAAAAAGTTGTAAACATAATAAAAGTGGGCGGTGAGATTGAGAACTGCATCTCATGCAACTTCTTCCTTAATCCAGAGAGGAAGGATAATTGCTGTCCCAGGAAATTAGAGAAAACAGTTGCAAGAATAAGCTACACGATTGGCGTCATAGGATGAAACAGTATTTTCCTAACAAAAGCGCTGAAAGAAATAATGTCATGTCGAGCCAATAATTTGATTAAACTCTAATTTTATATTTTCGTATCCTCTACAGTTGAGCAGAATCTAAGCATGAAATATTGTCTGTCATCTCTGAATAATCATATATACAGTCATCAAGAGGAGACAATTGAACAGAGGCAAATACAATAACATGCAAAAAATAAATTATCTTCATGGCATTAACTCCCAAAGCGGATCTCAGGCATTGGGTTTATTTCCCGTCTTGTACATGTTATCAATGACATTCTGTCCACACAAAAAATATTGCAGTCAGTACTTTCACCATTTCCCACCCCATCATTGACGCAAAATTAAATTCAGTAAGCATTATCATAAAATGGCTTGACACTGAAAAACATAGATGGAAAGGTGAGCCATAAAATTGCAGTTAAATGTGGAGTAGAATCAGAAAGAAATTCATGCTCGCAACTACTTAGAGGCTAACAACTCAATTTAAATGACCTATTTATTTCTACAGAAGATCTACACACGAGCATGCATGTCTCTCCAATAAGCGTTTGGATGTGTAGCAGTCCATTTGACATTCAAAAATGCTCAGAATTCAACTACCATGTCAAGTGTCCAATTTCACATCTGTTTGTCTACGCATATATATGTGAGCAGCTGTATTGGGTGTATGCGGGACATATCAAATGAGGAGTGGTTGATTGTGAGTTAGATGAACATATCTTGACTACTGGATCATATATGTGTGATCCGCATGACAACATAGTGATATTTTAAGTGGCCGCGAGACTACAAATGAATGTTCCAGATTTGCTCCTTTCACAAAAAAAACCACTCGTGCATGTACATATATGATCGTTTTACATATATACACTGATAGTATACGGCTATCTTAGCTTACTCTATCCCATTTTTCAACAAAGATTATTGGTAGGTTGGCCAAAGCAACATCTAGCCAGATACAATTACAGTAATGTTTCTATGGCCATAGGACCATACTGGTCTGATCACACTGACTAGTAGACAACTCAATCAATACAATGGGAATTGATTGAGATTTCCCTAACTCTTTTATTTGTTGCTTGGTAGAAAGAAAAAACTGAGGAAGAGAAAAAAGAACCTTCCACTTATGAAGGTGATCCACTTTACTACCTATTATATTAGAAATGAAGCAAAATAAAATCCTGAGAATTTGACAACTTTTACCTGATAGTATTTAAGCAACTGAGGCCTCTTCTTCTTATACGTAGGAGTGATAAGGTCACGTTCCATGTCAAATGGAACCGGGTCAAGATGGACTGCTCTTATAAACTCAAAACCTTTCAACTGCCAAAAAAATATTCACCATCCGACAAAGCTTCAGGAAATGTACTTAAACACAAACACATATGTACATATTGAATAGGATCATTTTATGCTGGTGTAAGACCAAACACACATCACTCAAGGCAATCCCTTTATGCATAATGTTTTTGGTCAATCCAACCATGGAATCATAGTTAGTTATATGTTAATATTTCATGTTAAATATCATTTTGAACAAAAAAGTATGTGATCAAATGGTTGGTATTTTCTATTACCAAAAAAAAAAGGTTGATATTTTCTCTTATTTGAAAAGCATATAATATGTGAATTATAAATAATCTTGGTTGTAGAAGACCACTTTAGATTAAGGTGAAATTTTATCACCATGATATATACATACATATATACTCCAAAATATAACATATTAGAACAATGATAAGAAAATTTAACTAAATAGGACCTTCTTTCCCTTCGCAATCTTTGAAAGCTCTTCAATGATGTGACTTTTTGCCCTAGAATCTTCACAGAGAGAATTGAAGTCCAATGATATACCATTTTCTTCTGCCCAATGCTCAAGTGCTTGCTTGCTGGGGTTAACAACAGCAACAAGGAAGGGCTCAAAACTGTTTCCATAAACCCATATCTGAAACAGAGGAGAAATAAAAAAGTTTATATCAGCATGGAACAGAACATTTCAGCTCATGAAATGAAGCTGAAATTAAGTACTTTGTTTCTATCTGCGAACTGAGCTAAACTTCTTGAAATCATTCATACATTTGGATGCTACAACAAATAATTGCACCGATACATGCCACTAGAATAGTCTTAACTCTTAACCTGGACAAGTGATCATACTAAACTACAGAATGTGGACACCATATATAGTATATCAACATGCAGCAGTACCTCTGAACGTAGGTTATGGCCAACATCGCATGTAATTGCTGATGGTGAAAATTTCAAGAAGCTCTACGTAGTTAAAGAATAATCTGTCCAACACGAAACAAGAATGCAATTTTGTATATGTTTAGGCATGAAAGAAAAACATCCAAGCCTAAATATATCGCTTTTCACTAGGCTAGGATGTTTTTCTTCCATGCCTAAACATATCCAAAAGTGCATTCTTGTTTCATGTTGGACATATTATTCTTTAACTACATAGAGCTTCTTGAAATTTTCACATCAGCAAGTACATGTGTATGTTGGCCATAAACTGAGAATCACACTGAGGATCAGTCTGCAGCTTGCTTAATGTTAGAAATAATATTAATTTATTATTATTAGAATAGTCTAGATTGTGGGCTTGACCCATTAGGTCATCCCATTAGGTCTTTTAGTCTCTATAAATAGAGAGCCTCCTTGTACAGACTTACACACTTGAATATACAATATATTTTCAGATTCAATTTGGTATCAGAGCTCTCGATCTGAGGGCTCTGCTTCCGCATATATATCTTTTCCTTTCTTTTTACTGCCGTGCATCATACCGGCAACCATCCTTTCACACCTAATTCTTATTTAGTCACAAATTTCTTGTCCTCAACCTCGTATCATCAGAAAAAAGATCGTCAGCCTCCGTTCATCGCCGGAAACCGCCACGAAACCACCGTCCGCCACTGTTCACCGCCGTCAGACTGCTTTTCCGGCGACTTTTTCGAACAACCACCACGCGATCAGGAGCGGCTCAGGGAGGCGACCCTGTCTGTCCAAGCCGCGTGTTAATCGGAGCATCCACGCGCCGGTGGAAGTCTCTGGCGGCCGAACCACTGTTCCGGCGCGTGAGCCACCGTCCGGCCACCGTTCCAGGCCGGACCACCACCATCTTGCTCGCCTCCTCACCCTCTTTCCAGATCTGGTCTCCGTTCGTTGTGGGTCCCATCCGTTTGAAAGATATCAGTGAAAAACCCGTTGTTTGGACACTTTTGTGCAACGTTTTTGCGCGATTTCTTGCTTTCTTGTAGTTCTTTGCTATTTTCTGGTCATCTCCTTTTATTTTGTGATGGAGGGCTCAAATAATGCGTCCAAAAACACGACTGGCATCATCTCCGGTACTACCCCATCTCCATTCTTTTCTCGGGCCAGTGATTCCAATTGGAACAGTGGACGCGGTCACAGACGTGGCCGCAGACAGAGGCCTCGTTGCAATTATTGCCAGAATCTTGGGCATTTTGAAGAACGCTGCTATAGGAAGTACCCTCATTTGAAGCCACCATCTGCCAAATTTGCTCAAACTGATGTTACACCACCTTCAACTGGATTAGTAACTCTTTCAAGTGCCGACTATGAGGCACTTCTCAAGAAGGTTTCTTCTCAGCATCCTACTCAAGACACTGGTAATCATGTTGCTTGTTTTTATCAATCATCTCTTGGACCCTAGATAATAGACTCAGGTGCTACTCATCATCTTTGTGGTAATAAAGATCTCTTCACTTCTCTTTCTTATTCTAATAACCTACCCCCTGTCACTCTTGCTGATGGCACTAAGGCTCCTGCTCGTGGAATTGGGGAAGCCAACCCAACTCCCCTTTTAACTTTGAGTTCTGTTTATTATATACCTGGCATTCCTTTTAATTTAATCTCTATTAGTCAGTTGATTCATTCTCTTTCATGTACTATTACCTTCTCTAAACAATCATTTTCTATGCAGGATTCGGGTACGGGGAAGACGATTGGAGCAGGCGTTGAGTCACGAGGTCTCTACTATCTGATTGCACCACCTTCTCCAGTAGCCTGTTCTCTCACAGAGTCTCCTGAGCTAATTCACAGCCGTCTGGGTCATCCAAACCTCTCCAAGCTTCAGCATATGGTTCCCTTTTTATCCAATCTTAAGTCTTTAAACTGTCATTCTTGTCAGCAAAGAAAACACACTCGCTCCTCCTTTGCTAATAGAGTCAATAAAAGAGCTGATGCTCCTTTTTCTATTGTTCATTCTGATATTTGGGGTCCGAGTCGAACAACGTCTGTTTTGGGTTTTCAGTATTTTGTCACCTTTATTGATGATTTCTCCCGTTGCACTTGGATTTATTTAATGAAAAATCGTTCTGAGTTATTTTCAATTTATCAAAAGTTTTGTGCAGAAATAAAAACTCAATTTGGTGCTTCTATTCAAATCTTGCGCAGTGATAATGCAAAAGAGTATGTGTCTCTTGAATTTTCTAAATTTCTGGATACACAAGGGACGATACACCAGACTACCTGTCCCCACACTCCACAACAAAATGGAGTCGCTGAACGTAAAAATAGAAATCTAGTTGAAACTGCACATACCCTTCTCATTCATATGAACGTCCCACTCCGTTTTTGGGCAGATGCTATTATCACCTCATGTTTCCTTATCAACCGCATGCCCTCTTCTGTGCTAAATAATGATGTTCCCCACAGTATTTTGTTTCCCGGAGCATCTTCTTATCCTCTGCCTTTACATATTTTTGGCTGTACTTGTTTTGTTCATGATCTTACTCCAGGTAAAGACAAGTTGACATCCAAGGCCTTCAAATGTATTTTCCTTGGGTATACACGTTTTCAAAAAGGGTATCGTTGCTATTCTCCTGATCTCAAGCGTTATATCGTTTCTGCTGATGTCACTTTCCTTGATCAGCAGCCTTTTCACTCTACTCTGTCTCCAGTGTCCCAAGTTGATCAGGTCCTTCCTGTTCCTTTTCCTGACTTGTCTTTACCAGCTGCAGGTGACCCTATTTCAGAGGAGCAACCAATTACCTCCATACCTGCAGATCGTCCTCTCCTCACATACCAGCGTCGTCAGCCTGCACCTCCACCGACTTTGCCTCTTGATGACTCATCGCTCTTTCCCGTCGGCTCTTCTCCTCCGGATCCTCCATCAGAGACTCCTCCCATTGCTCTTCGGAAAGGTATTCGATCCACTCGAAATCCTCATCCCCTTTATTCTTTCTTGAGTTATGACAGACTTTCTTCACAACATTTTACTTTTGTTTCTAGTCTCTCTTCTGTTTCCATCCCTAAAACCACAGGTGAAGCACTATCTCATCCAGGGTGGCGCCAGGCGATGCTTGATGAAATGCAAGCACTTCACTCCAATGGCACTTGGGATCTTGTTCGTGCTCCTCCCGGGAAGTCTGTTGTTGGTTGTCGATGGGTGTTCACAGTTAAAGTTGGTCCTGATGGCACTGTTGATCGCCTTAAAGCTCGCTTAGTGGCCAAGGGATACACACAGATCTTTGGTCTTGATTATGGGGATACCTTTTCTCCTGTTGCTAAGATGGCTTCTGTTCGCCTGTTTCTTGCCCTTGCCGCCATTCATCACTGGCCCCTTCTCCAACTTGATATTAAGAATGCTTTTCTACATGGTGACTTGCAGGAGGAAGTTTATATGGAGCAACCACCAGGTTTTGTTGCTCAGGGGGAGAGTTCTGGAATGATATGTAAACTTCGAAAATCTTTATATGGCCTGAAGCAATCTCCTCGGGCCTGGTTTAGCCGCTTTAGTTCAGTTGTTAAATCCTTTGGATTAATCAGAAGCAAAGCCGATCATTCTGTCTTTTACCGGCATAGCTCTTATGGCCAGTGCGTTTATCTCCTGGTCTATGTTGATGACATTATCATTACAGGCAGTGATCAGACCGGGATTGATCAGTTGAAAGAGCATTTATTCAATCAATTTCAGACCAAAAATCTTGGCAGCCTTCGATATTTCTTGGGGATCGAAGTTGCACAGTCTAGGCGGGGCATTTCCATCGGTCAGAGGAAGTATGCACTGGATATCCTAGATGAGACTGGCATGTTAGGCTGTAAACCCATTGATACACCTATGGACCCCAATGTTAAGTTATTACCAGGACAGGGGGAGCCACTGCCAGATCCTAGTCGCTACCGCCGACTAGTTGGAAAATTGAATTATCTTACTGTGACAAGGCCAGATATCTCCTTCGCAGTGAGTGTTGCAAGTCAATTTCTTGGTTCTCCCTGTGACTCCCATTGGGATGCAGTTATTAGAATTCTCCGATATATTAAAAAGGCGCCAGGAAGAGGTTTATTATATACAAATAAAGGGAGTTCAGAGATCTCTAGTTATTCAGATGCTGACTGGGCAGGTTCTCCTTCAGATAGACGATCCACCTCAGGGTATTGTGTTCTCTTCGGAGGAAATTTGATCTCTTGGAAGAGTAAGAAGCAAACTGTGGTCGCCAGATCCAGTGCGGAGGCAGAATATCGGGCAATGGCAAATGCAACCTGTGAGCTCATCTGGCTGAGTCAATTGCTGAAGGAACTCCATCTCTGTGAACAAAGGCCTATGAAGCTCATTTGTGACAACCAAGCCGCTTTGCATATATCCTTTAACCCAGTCTTTCATGAGAGGACCAAGCATATAGAAATTGACTGTCATTTTGTTAGAGAAAAGATCCAGTCAAGGGAGATCGAGACAGCATTTGTCAATTCCAATGATCAACTTGCGGATGTATTCACTAAAGCTCTTAGAGGTCCCCGAATAGATCATATTTGTAACAAGCTGGGAGCTTTTGATATATACACACCAGCTTGAGGGGGAGTGTTAGAAATAATATTAATTTATTATTATTAGAATAGTCTAGATTATGGGCTTGACCCATTAAGTCATCCCATTAGGTCTTTTAGTCTCTATAAATAGAGAGCCTCCTTGTACAGACTTACACACTTGAATATACAATATATTTTCAGATTCAATTCTTAATTTGAACTTCGTAATCAAATAATATCAAGCTGAGCCATAAGATTAATTGCTCAAGATTGGACCCATTCATCTCAAGCCCATAAAGGGCACAATTACTGTAATTCTATCATGAACAACCGAGCTCACCAGCTTTAGTAGTATATGAGTAACATTTTCCAAACACCTTTTCCCATTTTTATATAAATAACAGATCATCTATCACATATTTTTCCATCTTGCTATGGGCAATAAATTCACTGCAAGCTAGGAACATATCCAAAATCATTGAAAGGGTTACCAGGACATACAGATTCAATACAAGAAAGTTGACCATAAATATTTTCCAGGTTTTCAACAGCAACATATTCTCCTTGTGAAAGCTTAAATATATTCTTCATCCGATCAATAATTCTCATGCTTCCATTAGGTTGCCACTCTCCAATATCACCTGTTGGATATATCATTCATAAAATAAAAAAATGTGACCCTTTCCAATTTAAAAGAGTATCTTTAAACTTCAATTTTGGAAAACATAAACAACCTGTATGGAACCATCCATCAATCAGAACCTCTTTCGTGAGGTCTTCACGTTTGTAGTACCCCGAAAACAAGGTTTTTCCCTTTACACAAATTTCTCCTCTTGGTGTACTTGCAAGGGCATCGTACCCCATTTCAGGAACAGATTCCAGACACACATCCACATTTGGTACAGGAGGGCCCACTGTTCCAAGCATTTCCATTTCATTTGGTAATGAGACAAAGGTTCCCGCACAGGTTTCAGTCAGACCTATTTTCATTTTTAAAAAAGCAGATTAATCAAGTCCACAGGCTAGTACAAGGGCCGTAAAGAAGTCTAACATTTAAATAGCTACATTATCTTCGGCGCACATAAACTGCATTAGAGTGAAGAGACATTAGAATAATTTCCATATAGGTTTCAGTTAGATATCATTTGTACTAGTAACATGCAATAAATCTAAAAGTATTAGCTAATTGCCACTGCTCTTATCAACATTAATCAAGGATAATTTTAGAACCATATAATTACCACTTGATATTCAAAATTAGAGTCAACTAAACATAAACGGAGATTCAACTAATATAAGAATACATTTTATGCAATTAGGGCCGTTTATATGAAGCAGTTATTGCCCCACATCCAGAACTATACTATAAGCTTTGTAACAAGTGAAAAGTTCCACACTAATAGTGTTTACAAAAGACTAGTGGCAATCACACAAATTTAGAACGGAATAAGAACTGTTTTAAGTTGAAAGTGGTATGGTAATTCTGTATAGTTTAAAATGGTTTTAAACAATTTAGTTAGTCAAAAATTTCCTAGTTTAGTATCGAAGAAAGTAAAATGACAAATGGAGAAAAATAAGGAAGTTTATGGTTTAAATAAAAACCAGCTAGTTTGACTTTGTCCTAGGTTTTCTTTTGAAATAGTGTCACTAAACTAATCAAATAAGAACTGGTTTCTCAAGTTTTGAGTGAGTATGAGAAACATCTACCTAGTTTTCTTTTGGATTGTGAAAAATACTCTTTAATACAAGATCTGCAATTCTCAGATAAAGATATTACTATTTTCCTTTACACAAATAAAATAAAAAATCACCAATCAGCATATGTTGTCTGTATCACATGAAAATAGCATTCAGATTTAAATGAATTTATTTTTGTTTAAAAAAAAATCAATTATTGTTAAATAGAAACGGTTTAGTTTAACAGATGTGCAACTAAAATGAGTATTTAGCATGTTTTTGAAAAAAATAATGGCACGGTAAATGTTTGATTTTCAAATTTAAAAAGAGCATACCGTATCCTTGTAGGACATGAGCACAAGACACCACCCGCAAGTAACCTTCCACGTGTGTAGAGAGAGGTGCTGCTCCAGACAAAATAAGACGTACATTACCCCCTAAACCTTGCTTTACCTGATCAAATTACAAAACCATGATTAGTCAGAAAATACAACAACTCTGTCATACTGAGGGGCTTCGGAATTAAAATTTATAGTTTTACCACCTTGTCAAATACAATTCTGTCAAGAAGTGGAGATGCCTCTCCATGCTTAAGCCCTTTATTCATGTTATGCAACTTGCTGCAATCAATTAAAAATTGCACTGCTTACAGAAGGACCACCAATAATTTAGATACAACCTAATAAAAAAAATTAATACTAATCTAAAAGAGAATTTGTGTGTGACACATAGGAAAAATCTTAGTTCCCTAATATCTTACAGACGATTTGTGACCGGGACAGTTCATTGTGGGTTTCTCATGATTTCACCAAGAATCAAGTAATCATTTACAATAGCATAGTACTTACTATGAGTAAGCACAGTTGAATAATGTCTTTTTAAGGAAGCCCCCAGAAGAAATCTTCTGCGTCAAACCTGTGTAACAGAAGGAGATTGGAAGTCTTCATGCATAATTTATTTTATTTTCTTCAATGGGTTTGGGGGAGGCAGCTCAGGAAAAGAAATGTAAGAAAAATGACACTCCAATGATCAAGAAATAATTTACAGAGTAGTCTAGTCCTCCTGAAATCACAATATGACCATCAACATCATGTGATGCTAGAAACATGTTGGAGAGAAATAATATAAAACCATTAATATGGCCTTTAACCCAACAACTTAAACTTTTGAGTTGAAATGATTCTTAACATGGTATCAGAGCCTCTCTAACCAAGTGGTCATGAATTTTATCCTCACCGCCCCCCGTTCTATTAAAAAAAGATTAAACATTTTGGAATTTCTTAACGTAAGCAAGGCCTGTGCATTGTATAACTGTCAACAATTACAAGAGTCTACCTGAGTACACTCTATCAAGCACTCGAGGAACAGCACAAAAAACAGATGGTTTTAGCTCCCCAATGTCTTCAATTAACAATTTGACATCCTGCAGCCATTGTGTAAATGATGGTCATATTCCACATCCAATCAAAACAAAAGTTTGACATTTTTGAGATAAAATCAAATCCAAATTTCAATTATCACATAAAATCTTCATTTAGTAAGGATGGATTTAGCACATATACTCACCCCACGCCAGAAACCTATTTGGGCACCATGCCATATGAATGCCTCCTCAATTACCCTATCAAAGATATGAGCAAGAGGAAGGTATGATAGGTATACATCCTTATCATGCAACTGCAAAGAAGGAAAAAGGAGAGATTATGAAAGCTAAAGACAGGACAGCTAAGCATTAGTATCCTAAAACTGGAAGAAGAAGAAAAAAACCACACCATTCAAATTAGATACGCAATCTACCTAGCTTGGAATGAAATGGGATTGCATATTGGGAGTTCTCTGTACATTCATGTATCTACGAGTAAAATCGAGGAGTTGTAAATAGAATAATACTTACACGTTCATTGACACTTTCCAGAAATCGTTTAATCCCAGCTAAGAGGGTAATAATACTCTCATTGGATATTAACACTCCCTTGGGGTCACCAGTAGTTCCGCTAGTATACATTATTGTACAGATGTCACTACTTTTCTTCACAGGAAGATCAAACGTCTGATTTTGACCCTGTGACAGATATTAAAAATTGAATTAGAAATGGCAACCACAAAATATCCATAGAAGCAAAAGAGACTTTACTCCCCACTGGTCATGACTGAACTGAGCTTTAGAAAAATAAATTCCAATATATATATATATATATATAAGGCTTATCGTTTCTCAAGTTGCTTGAAATAATCTTATCTCCGGCTACTAAATCATAACCGTACAAAGATGGATCAATGGTGATAAAGGAAGAGAGAGAAAAAGGGAATCATAACCATTCAAAGGTGAATCAATTAATATAAGAAAATAAATAAATAAAACGACGTAGTTTTGGGATAGCCGAAGATAAACTTATCTCAAGCTGCTTGAGAAATGTTTTTCCCATATATATATATATATATATATATATATATATATATATATATATATATATATATATGTGGTAGGATCGTGTGACACCGGTGTCAAATTTTAATTTTGACACCTCATCTGAGAGCCGTTAGATAAAAAAAGATCAATGGTGTCACATGCTTGCAAATCAGAGTGGTTGATTTTTTTTGGTCTAACGGCTCTCAGATGAGGTGTCAAAATTGAAATTTGACACCGGTGTCAAAGGATCCTATCTATATATATATATATATATATATGGGTTTGGTGTTTGTCATTTTAAATGACATAAGTTATGTCATTTTAGGAGAGAAATAGACATAGAAAAACGGAAATCATGGGAGAGAGAAAGTGGGTGGTTTTTTTAATTTAAAATTCAAATTTTTTGTGTCTGTATCTCTCTTAAAATGACATAACTTTCTGTCATTTAAAATGACAAACACTTTTCCTATATATATATATATATATATATATATATATATATATATATATACCTAACCAAACAATCCACAAGTTTCCATTTTACAAGATATCATCTTTATATTTTTCATTTTCATGGCCCGTAAACTATATTCACTAATAGTTTTCCACATACACCACTATTACACCAACAGAAGGTGGATCAAGATAGTGATACAACAATTTTTGCTATGTAAGAGTAATTCCAGATAATGCCAAGTAATTATAGAAGGAGCAGCTTTCATGTCAATTTTACAAGTAATAGTAGAAAAAGAGTAATAATACATGAAATGAAAAACCCACCACTTGTAAAAATTCCTCCCAAGAATATATTGCCAACCCAAACTTTTCAACTTCTTGCTTTTGTTCAGGGGTAACATTCCCAAAGCTCACAAGTGCTGTAAAAAGAGATAAAACTGATTGTTTCTTTCTCATACATATGCATTTTTGGAAAGAAAGGAGATAATCAACAAAACTTACTCCTGAGATACTTTGTTGTATTTGGAAATGTCTTCAATAGCTGAAAAGTTTCAAGAACAAATATGGGTAAGACTGACAGTTTACAGAAAATTGTACACAACTCTCTAATTCTTCCAAACAATAAACTGCTACAAAACAGATAATTTCAATTTATGAACCTCAGGTATCTTCTTTTCTTCTGCAAATGCAATTGAGACCTCTGCATGGCATATTACAAATTCTACAGCCCCAGCACCTAAGTCATATATATGAGTGTCAAAGCCAATGGTAATTAAAAAAATTAAAATTAGAAAAGTAAATATTGACGTATTAGGATGGAATGTATTCTCGGTGAAGTGCAAAAAAGGACCCAAGAAACTTCTTGCAAGGGATTATCAATATCTGCACAATGGGACATTCTACCCATACGGCCATACCATGCACGGTTTAAATTTTTCAGCATGCTAGTAAATTTGAAAAAAATTATCATTGTTGTGAGGAAAGTTATCAAGGTCAAAGGTAAGTGACAGGTTTTGGTGTAAGTTTAGAACTTACATAATTTTTCAAAAAGATCTGTTTTCAAATCAGGTAAGATTTTCAAAAGGGTACTTACTTATTTGTTGATATAAATTACCAAAAAAAATATTGCAATAAAAGTTCTCAATGAATGTGTGAATTTAACACTTGCATAATTAATACTTTTTCAAAAAGATAAAGCTTTGTTTATAAAACAGGAAGTTTTCAAAAGTGCATAAACTATTTATTTTATTTGTTGCTAAATGTTACATTAAAAAAATGCAACGTCCATAAACATTGTAACTTTTCCCACAAATCTCATGTACAGTAGATTTGGAAAGCTAATTTCAATTGCGGCTGAGTAAAAGCATCACCATGATGTACAAACATGCTAAAGAAGGTGTTAACATACCTAAGGTATCATATAAAGGAACACAATAAAGTCCATGTGCATTGCAGGCCTGCAATTATTCGGCAATATGTCAAAAAAAATTGAGTAGAAGAAGCTAGTTCAGCAACATTGTTGCTAGGTGACCAGGGATACCAACACCAGCACCACACAAGCATAGAGCAACAAATAATAGAAGTGGAACTCTCTATAGAAAGTATATATTGAATAAAAGAAACAAAGCTTCAATCCAGAAATACCTTATTTTCCTTTATATTCGAGAAGGACTATAAACAGGCAAGAAGAATTAAAGAAACAAAGCAGTACAGTAGACATTCAAATAACAATAAACACGAAATACAAGCAAACATCAACATATAAATACAATAGAAACCTCAAACAAACAGAGTGAACAGAAAAAATAGATGGAAAAAATTAAAAAGACAACAAAGAGGAAAGAAATTCAAAATAAAATGTACCTCCATGCTCATAATCCACTCAGCAGAATTGGCACCATAAATACCACATTTAACACCCTGCAAACCATAAATATATGACTTAAGCTCACAAGAACAAATTGATTGAAATGATAATTATCTGCAAAAATGAAATATGAAAATCATATAAAACAAGGACCCATTATGCAAGCTTAGATGCAAAAAGAAATCTGAGTCAAAGAGCCAAGCATTCGAAATCACTTGGCCATGTTTCTGATAAGTAATTCACTACTGTAGTGAGCTATTATGAACATGCAGATAGCAACGTTATCAGGAACATATTTTCAAAGAAATTATGTACGAGGTGTTTGAAGTTTTCACTGGCATGAAAGCATGCATATCACACGCCAGAGTTGATGTAAATAATAGAAGTAATATTGTATCAAGTCAGTTTTGTATTAAGTCAGGAGTTCTGTTATGATAAGTCAGTTGTGATTGTTTGTATTCAGTTAGAAATGTTGCGTTTGTAACAGCTTGTCGATAGATCTAGAATATTCTAGAAGCTGGTCACCAAGTCTATATATGTGGTATGACTTGTTTAATTCATTATTATTCAGAATATACAGATTCAGTTTTCAGTTTACTCTCTCTCTCCTTCCATGGCCTTTCTTCCCTTCTTTCTCCTTCCATCTCTTTGAGTAAATAATGAAAAAGTGAACAACGCAGCATGTACTGAGAATCCAAGAATTGGAATAAAGTATTAAAGAAGATAATACTATTAGAACAACCAAAAACAAAACATGGTTTCATTTTCCGGTAAGAGAAACATAGCTCACTTACTTCTCCATAACCACAGCTGCGGATGGAATTCCCAATTTTCATCACCACATCATATACTTCTTTGTAAGTTTTCCACTTGTACTTGCCAGGCTATAAAGAGTCATAAAGAAATGTGCATTTAAGTCAACCAAAAGCCATAACTGGTTAAGCAATGGCAATAATATTTCCAGAACACAAACTTAGACAGTGCAAGAGACTTTACCTTCCCATCCACAATTTCCCGGGTACCAAGCATTGGATTTGTTGGATATTTCTCAACAGACAATCTGTAAAATTAATATACATTAAGAACTGAAATTACTAATATTTTATCGTACTATAGAACGAAATAGCAGGAATAATACATGTCAAGGATTTTGAGTCCTAGATCGGGTTAAATTAAACTATATATTTAGTTCCTCTTCGTGCGCATGAAAAGTTCAACAATAATTGTTTAAATGTTGAGTGGGAAAAAAAAAATTAAAAAAACTGGAGAATCTGATTAAGAAGCTGTGGTTCACGAAATGATTACTTTATGTGCCAAATAGATAGTTCAGATTGAAAGTCTACCTAACTTGATAGTCTGATATACAGATCAGAGAGCTCTGCTTAGCAAGTTGGCATAATAATTAAAGAATAAAAAAAAAGGAAATTAAAAGAAACGATCTGATTTGTATTTATTTAGTGGAATAAATAATTTACTGATTGTGTCCATAAAAACCAGTGATCATTTGCATCGAGCAACAAAAGCTTCCACTCAATTCTCAGCTATCAAATCGAGAGCATATAAAAATGAAATTAAGTGAAGTGAATCAATAGGTTTTCGAAACGAAATAGAGAGAAGAAAGTGAGGAATAAAATCGAAGTGATAGATTAGATTCACCGGAAAACATCCCAGCAGCTATCGAGACCGGGGATAGGAGCAGGGAATCCATCCTTGGCGAAAAGGCTGCGGTAAACAGGTCCCCTCGATGGCCTCCCTTCACTCGCCCCCTTAGCTTTCTCGACCTCAACGATGAAACTCCTTTGCGCCATGACTGTGATTATTCCTCTTCCTCTGTCAATCCGATAGAAGAACAATCACGGCGAATATCGAAGGGAAGAGAATTTGGAATTGAAATGAAGAATGGAGAATGGAGAATGGAGAAGGGAGATAGCAGAAGAGAAGACAGAGAATTTAAATGCAAATTAGGTCAGCTTTGTGGCTTCTGTGAATGCCGGTGTTGACTAGCAGACTTGAAAGACGGAGAGAGAGAGAGAGAGCGGTGTCGTGTGGTGTGCCAGGGAAGAGAAATTCCTCTGCCTTTACCACTCACCAGACTTCCAAATGAATTAGGTTTGGATTGGTCAACAAGTTCTGAATCAATGACGCAATTTATTCTTTTTAAATTCAATTACGCAATTTTTGGGATATGCTTACGTTCCTTCATTCTTTCTTTTTTATTTTATCGCCAGGTTAAGAATATTGCAATCGATTCAAACCTAAATGTCGAATTCGTTATTATCCAAATAATAATAACAATAATAATCAAAATCGCAGAGAGTAAAAATCGGAATAAGTGTGTTAATTTAGATTTTTGTTAGCATTAACTAGATTGCTGCGAGTTTATCTATATATATATATATATATATATATATATATATATATATATATATATATGGGCCACAAGGCCCAAAAAAGCTAGAAAATTAACTATAAATAATAGAAAAAAAGGGAATGTTTTAATCTTTGTTACTCTAGAGATCATTAGAATATCTAGGAGGAATATAAATAAACTGAGTTCCCAAAGTGGAATGCAATGCATATGTAGCTCACTATTATTTTACTCTCTGTGAACATCGTAATCCAGCCATCTTCAATTTGTGGATTAAAATTTGATTATCACATGCTAAAATGAATATTTTATATCTAATATCCCAAGTCAATTGCTGCACCCAGCTTCTAGAACAAGTATGAATAAAGTGATAAGACTATTATGCAAATTAAATTGGTACCCGATTTCACTTGCCTTCAGTTCAACCACCTCTATAAATGCCAACACATAATAGACCATTTATTTTTGCAATCAAACACGTGAAAGCACCAATTGTATTACTGTCAAGCCATTTTTGCTAGTTCCAAGTCATAAATTCATAGTGCAAATTCGACGTAGTACATTGCCACAAAATTACTTGTGCAGGTGGACAATCACAATTAATGTGTAACAACGACTCTTTTCCCCCAAATAGCAACACTTGCAATTCTGATTTCCTTGCAATTTACGACCAATAAAGGCCTTCTCTTTAGCCTAAGTACGATTCATCATTCAAACAAACATTTTGATACTATATGATACTAGGATGTGTGGAACTCTATATCACTTAGGTTACTTCCATTATAAATCAACTATGCTAAGATTAATTTCCACACACAAAAAAAAAAAAAAACTATGTTAAGATTTAATATGCTAATTTTACCGGGGATTGGGGGTTAGAAATCATTAGTGAATACATACAATCAAGGTTGTTAAAATCGAGATCTTAAATAAAATCGGAAAGGAATTAAAAAATTATAAAATGTAAAATCGTAATTTAAAAAAATTATAAAAAATTGTAAAAACATAAAATCGTATTAATAAATCGAGATTTTAACAAGAATGGATACAATAATGTATGTATTCAAAATGTTGCTTTAAACAATATATTACTTTATATACAATTCTAATAAATAACACTTTTGAAGAACTTATATAATTTATTCATTTGAGAAGTTTTTAAATAACGGTTGTCTAGTTCACAATATTCTTACCGATTGGTAAGGGAACTGACTTGTAAATATTAGTCTTCATCTAAATTGGATTTTAATCCGATTCAGATATGTGTAAATCGCGAGGCAAGACGACTTAGTATTTCTCGGTAGAAATGAGTCACATCACAACAATTTAATGGTATCGAATGAATAAAAAATTAAAAAATCAGATATACTTGTTTGGCCATGACATGAGTCCCATTTTTTTTTTTTTTGGTAAGCAATGAGTCTCATTTTTATTATTCAATCAATATGCCAGCAATACCACTATCACACAAACCACTAGTCTGAAATCTTTTTGTTGAACTCTTCAAAGCACGCATTGAGAAAATGAGTAATCTTAATATTTCTAGATTTAATATCATTTTTCCTTGAATATATATATTGAAATTGATTAACTGATTAGTTCAATTTATGTATTATCATGTTTATTATAGGGAATGACTCTTTCAAAATTATTTTCTTCATTTTTAAGACGAATTTAAAACTTTTTTTTTTTTGGTGAAGAAAATTTAAAACTTTTGATTGAATGAAACAAATTCCTTGCTACTTAAACCAATTATTGTTGATACAACTAAATTTTTTTAAATATTCGGAGCTAATAAATTCAATTTAAAAGAATAAGATATAAAATATTATATATATATATATATATATATATATATATATATATATATATTATTTCTTAACACATGCCTTAACGTATAAGCTTAAGTTGTTGTTTCAATTCAAGGTATATTTTTTAATCGTTGCTCGAATTAATTCAACTTGTAAATTTAAATTAGTAAATGAAAACACGTGTATTATTTTTGTAGTATTGTTTTAACGTATGCGTCTAGATAAAGCATCGCGCGATTTCTTTTTCTAAATGAAGTTATTCATCCCCTTTTGGGAAGATGGATAAGTCAATAGTATTAAGCCAGAGTCTCTCAAGACTCTCAACAAGTTATTTGTCCCACCTCTTGCAAGATGAACAAGGCAATATTACGCCAGGGTGTGTAACAATAAATAAATATTATATTATTTACGATATCAATGTCAGCTCGTGACTTCCATTCTTGGTCCACAAGGTAAATAGATATTTATAGAGCTTTATTAATCTCATGCAATAAGAGATAAGCTTTATCATGTTATAGACACAATTACGTGTGAGACTCACCTACTTATAAAAAATAAATAAATAAATAATAAAATAATATAAAAATTGATGTATGTGTAAAAGAAAAAAATAGTCTCCTATAACATAAGAGTATATTTTTCTCATATTTATACGTAGGTTAAATGTCGGCTTGTATCTTTTCATTCTTGGTCCACAATGTCTGCTTATTTTCAAATAGTATTTGTCTAAACGGTCCAAACAAGTATCGTTCCGAACCCCAAGCAAAAAGCAGATGTAACATATATATTGTCATCAAGTTATAAATATATATATAAGCCTATATAGGCATTCTTTAAGTTGCAATTTTTTAACCCGTTCAAATGCTTGTTCGCAAATCTCTCACTGGAGCCTATATTAAAAGAAGATTTTTAAGAACATGAATATGGGCAGTGTAATCGTTCTTGTATTTTTTAAATTACAGTCAATTATATATAGGTCAAAATGAAAAGTTTCATAAAAATAATTTTTTTATAACTTGACTTTAATTAATTAGCATAATTAAGATTCTAACATATACGTATTTATCAGTGCGAGTTTGCTGGACTGATTAGTATAGTCTCCTTTCACGGTAGTTGATAATAATTTCTTTGTAAGTTTCCGGTGTGGGTGGAAGGGGATATTACTTATATTTCGACACTAAAATTAGTATTTTATCAATTAAATATATGTAAATGAGAGATAATTTATGAGTTTGGTTAATTGTATTTTGTTTTAAATTATTTTGTAGAGTAATTAATGAAATGTGTATTTTGTGTATTTTAAAAAAAAAAAAAAAGTCAAAACATAAAAAAAGAAACAATTGAAATATATTTTTTAAATTTAATTTTAAAAATTAAAAAAATAGAAAAAAATTTTAAAACTACTTTTATAAAATAAACATTATCAAACAAATTTTATTTTATTTTTATCTAATAATTTAAAAATAATTTTTAAGTAAAGACTCTTTTGGATCCCTAACAAAAAAATATGATCACCATTTTCATCTCTTACAAAAAAATAATTATATTAATCCTTTTTTAGGGACTAAATTAAATTTCTGAGGGATCATAGTTTCAATGAACTGAAATTGTAGAAGGACCAAAAGTTATAACTAAATTGGGTCTTATTTTTTTTTATAAGGGATAAAAACAAAGACCATATTTTTTATTAAGAATCCTTTACTCAGTTTATTTTTTTTATAACACCTTCACTCAGTTTTTAAAACAGAGGCTCGTGTGACAGGATGCACGAAGTGGGTGTAAATGGGACTCTACTCATAATTTTTATAATACAGAGGCTCGTGTGACAGGATGAGCCTCATGGCTCATGCTACATATCCTTCTATTAGTTGTTAAAAAAAAAAAAAAGGTGTCGAAGTGTTAGATATGTTTAGTAAATTAGTATAACCTAGCGCCGAGGTATAGGTGTTGATGACTGTTGACAACTTGACATAGATACAGTGTGGTGGTTGAGTGTCATTTATGTATTCACCGGAGTGTTCGCTGTGAATACAGCAGTGATTTAGGCATTTATGACTAAATTACTGAAGGACATTAAATTGGAACCGAACCATTCATGTATGAAGCATTAAAGTGTTCCGTCCACGACACTAGCCCACAACACATCTACACATGTTTATCTGTTTTTAATCAAACAATTGGAGTTGTAATATTATAAATTTGAACCGTATGTCATTTCATTGAGTAATGATATTTGCGTAGTAAAAGATATAACACAATCTTTAGAGTTAATTTAGTTGGCTGAAAATATTGTTAAAATATGTATTTATTATCTAAAAAAATAGTATAAGAACGGTGTAAACTTTTTCGGTACGCGAATCTCATTGTTGTCAATTTATAAATTTTCTAGCGTGCTAAACTATATTTCTTTGTCATTATCCATGATACCACTTTTTTTTTTCTGCGATGACGATATATTATTGTTTCTTCGTTATCCAAGTTTCATTATCTCTCTCTCTCTCTCGATGAAAGGTGGGTACATAACTTTTTAATTATTTTTTATTATTATTATTATTATGAGAGATCTAATGCTATTATGAAGGAATAAGAAAATTTGATTAAGTATGAAGATGTGAAACTGACTTGAGATCAAACTTCATACTTACAAGATCACTCATTAAAATAAAATTAAAGAGTTAAAAATATGACAATATAGACACTTTTGTTCTTTATTTCATTGTTCGGCTAAAACAGAATTTAAAATTGGAGAATATATTTCTCATTTGTATGAGATAATTTGTTGCATGTTGTCTCATGCAACATAAAAAAATAAATATGTGAGATTTACTAAAAAAAAAAGATAAGAAAAAAAATATAAAACCTACATATTTTTATGTGTGTTTAGAAAATAATTTAAATCTTTTAAAATTACATACCTCATATGAAACTAAAGATTAACTAAAATATAGTAAATGAAAGAGGGAGAGAAAATTAGGACAAAAATAAAAGAAGTATCATTTTCGTTGTCTTATTTTTTTATTTTTTTTACGTACAAGATCTATGTATAGACTCTATTCATAGACTCTCAATTATCCTATGTTACAATGGAATAAATAATAATATTGAATCCTCCTAATTGTGCATTACTACTTTATAAGAGTTACAAAAGTTATACATCATTTTCTGTTTGGTGTGTGTGTTTTTTTTTTTATAAGTTAAAAGTGAAACATAAAATAAAAACAATTGAAATATATTTTCTAAATTTAATTTTAAAAATTAAAAAGTTGTTGTAATTGTTAAAACTACTTTTATAAAACAGACATTATCAAAGAGTTAAACATATGACACTAGAGACACTATTATTTTTTATTCAATTGTTCAGCTAAGATATAATTTAAAATTACATAACTTCATATTGGACACATTTGAACACAAGCTTTTAACAAGAAATAAAAATCAGCAATCAGTTTGTTATATATATTCTTTATTCCATGATATCACATTTGTATTTAATAATAGTAAGATTACTAATAAGAGATTTAAGAGTTAAAAATCTGACAACTCCCCGTTGATTAATCTCACGGTACAGTACGCCAAAAATTACACATCAATTTTATACCTATTTGCGTTTAAATTTGAAGTACCATACCATATACTATTTGATTAAGGGGATAATATTTGTGTTAACCAAAAATTTTACGTAATTATCTGGTCAAGTGTATTGGTATACAAATTCTGGTGTCCATTAATCATTTTTAAGTTATTGCAAATTACAAAACACATAACATCTTGGTATAACTCACTTCTACCTTGAGTATAGAAATAGTAGACCATTGCACTCTACAAATGCAAAAGCTCATCATATACTTGTGGTTAAATAATAACAATGCAAAACCATCACAGTACAGATCAACTGCTACGACCTATTAGGGCATTCAGATGAAATATAACCCCTGGGATTTTCGTGTAAACCACATATGGACTAGACGACAAACAAGAATCACAATCAAAACATTAAGCCACGGAAGAAACAAGTATACAATAAACTGCATTCAAATTGAAAGGAAACGATATTCCAATTACGGGGAAAAAATCTATCTAGCTTTAGCATCTGCATACGAGCAAATTTGGACTTGCATCAACTTAGGATCAGGATACAGCAGAGACCAAGACATAAGCTGCGACAGTGACACCATGAAATTCCCATTCCCACGAGTATATTAGTAGCCAAATCGACCCCTTCCCCATGAGAGCCTCCGATTCCCACCTCCATTGCTCCGATTCCCACCTCCATTGCGCTGCACAGTATTATGCTGCCTTGACAAAACTCTCATTCTTTGCTCCTTCATGTTTGCAAACAGTGAATCCAGCGTCTGAGGCCTTTGCTTTGGCATTTTATTCACGTTCTCCTGCTGCTTCTGAGGGGAAGGCAGCGGTTTCTGCGTACAAATTTACAAAATATTTCAGCCATGCACATCAATGAGTCTGACTTCTGAATGAAAGCTTAGTTAACCTTAAAATGTAAGATATCTTAAAAGACTATAAATGTTATAGGTAACAGCGAGAACAGATTAAAAGCAGGACTTCAATTGAGATGCACATGGACCACAACAGTAATCAAGATTAAGTGATTGATTGCTTCACTAATTCTACAAACCCATTTACCCTCGCAGTTTCAAGATGTCAACCTCAATCCCCAACCCCCAAGTCCCAACAACTAAGAAGAGCATCCCATTCAATATGAACAGTAACCCACATAGCCAGCTTAATGGAACCTCCACTGATAATGGTTACATACACTGGCAGCATTCTGTCCTTCGGAATGTTGACACAGCTAATTATGAATACAGCATTCAAGGCTAGAAAACAATCACTAAACCAGTAAAGAAAACTGACACACCTTGGCAGCAAAACCTCCACTAGCAGCCCTTCTCTGACTTGCAGGAACTCGAAATCTGCACCCAAAAAAGAGAGAGAGAGGATAATCCAAGTGTAGAAACACGAAACATTCAAAATACTCCATCAAGATCAGTGACCAGCAACAAGATGCTCAGCATTACCAGCTACTATTCGTAAATCGTAATAGAAACACACTACTCAATTCTTTCGCTTACTAGAAAGGTAAGTCACTTACCATCAGATTTTTCCTATATCCAACTATAAAGAAAGAAGAATATAATTTAAGCATAAAGACAACACTCGCTACAAAGTCGAAGACCAACTCAGTGAACAACTTTTAAAATTTGCAAAGAAACCTGCCACTTGCAACATGATCTGGAGTTTGTACTAGCCCCCAACAACTTGTATTAAACTTGCTACATTCCATAACTGGATAACACCATTACTACATTCCATAACTGGATAACACCATGGAGGCTGTCAAGCAAGTAGAGACCAATTAAGATTTTTAAGGCTTCCACAAAGATCATATCACTGTATAGTAGTAGCAAGATTTATCTGCATGGTGACGAGGATAACATTTCCCCACCAGCAACCACTTTATGGCACCTCTGCAGAAGCTAAAAGAACTTGAAACAATTACTTAGACAGTATCATCATCCCCCTACAATGCTCACCAGACCAAGAAGAACTCCCCATTCATTAACTTCATTGCCAATCACAAAAAGTTTTCTTCAAAGACAAACCCGTGAAGTGACTTCGGATTCTTGGGCAGAGAAAAATATTTTCTTATTCCACACAATGAGCATAGAGATCTTTTCAATTATCAGTCAACACAAAATATTAAAATGGCATGTTGCAATTTATGGATGCCCCCACGGAAAAAATGATTGCATATTTCATAGCAAGCGCCTGCATCCTTGCAGCATGAACTCAACTTGGATAAACCATCGGGCATTTAGAGCCAATATTATTTTGAAGTGGGGAAGGTTCATAGCAAATAGATAGACCAGTAAGAATCACAACCCAACCGCAAAGAATACTAACAGCCAAAGAAACAGTAGCAATTCTCACTATGAATGTAGTCTAAAGGAGATTGACCATAAATGTAATGCTAACATCAGCTCATACCTTCAAAATGGTTAAATTCTCTAAAAAAAGCATGCTTAGTTAGTTAGTGCCACAATCACTATGCTTGCTTCTAAACAACTGAAATAACGCAGAGTTGTTTGAGTTGTTTTTTCAACGTGAGCCAGCCACTATATATTAGCAACATTATGGTCATTACTTAAGTGCATATGAGATGGTGCAGTGGTACCCTCCTTCACAAACTAGGATGATATACTTCAGAAAGAATATTATTGTTTCTAGCAACGTGTTTCCAGTGAACCAGACTCCATCTAACAAGAAATTGATTTCCATCACCAGCCAGCTCAACCAACTCCAATTATCTAGCATGAATCCATGGTAATATTCAACATACCCACTCAAACCATGATGCATTTGGCACAATAGATTTATGAGATTATATGCAAGCATTCAGAATTCCATAACATGTGGCTGGCCCTCATTCATGATGTCAAATGGCTCCTTTTGCAGAGGAAAAAAAAAAATGGAAGGCACATTAAGTGGGGCCATGTTTTACCTGCAATAATGCAAAAATCAATTTACAAATGCTGTTACGAATGCCACAACACACAAGAACATCATTCAAAGTTAAATGTTCAGCTCCCAACTATTACAATTGAACAAGATTAATACCTTGCTTTATTCCAGTTAGCCACCCTATTGCGATTAGAAACTCTAAAGCGCAGAGGAGTAGTAACAGCTTTTCTTGCAATCTCAGCTGTAACTGGAAATTGGTTTCCAAGGAAATTAGTCCTTCTTTTTGCAAGAGCCCCCTGATGACAATATTTAAACATGAAAATATTAGAAACAATTGCACAAAAACAATACAAGTAAGAAATTTCAAATGATTATGCTTTTCATAAACTAACGCACCTGTCTAAGAGATGATCTTGACTCCATATAACGCCGTACCTTAGAAGACTTATCTTGAGTAAAATTGTTTGAAAACTTTTGGCTTTTGTTCTGTGCCGGTATAAGAATCAAGTGAGATGGTAACCACCATGAGCGTTACAACGCAACAACATGACCAGAAAACAGAAAACAATTTTCCAGAACAAATTCTTACCAGAACCATTCTTTGCTTCCCGGTCTTCTTATTTTTAGACATTTTGATTATATCATCTATTAATATCATGGGGTGATGAATATTAGATATGTCAAGCAGAATATGAGAAAGAAAAGGGGCTTTTCAAAAGGTTCTATTAAGCGCACCTAGTGTCATGGCCATCTTCTTCTCTGTAAGCGCAATTGCCGCGGTTGTAAGAGGTTTGGCTGCCATCTAATAATGCATAGAAAAGTTAATACAAACAACTATAAATATCCCAGAACATAATAATTTAAAACTACCAACCTAGAAACAAAATCAGCTACCAAGAACCGAACAGAAACAAGTCCATTTACGAAAGAAAACATGGGTAGACACCAAGATTTTTCAAGAAAGAGTGAAGAAGCAACAAACATCGAGTTTATTCAACAATTATTCATCACATGGGTAAAGAAATATGATAAAGGAATGAATACAGTACTCTAAATACAAACAAAGGAGCAAGCGATAAGGTCCCCTCAGTGAAAACCATAAATTGCTCGAGCAAAATCGTACAAAAAAAAAATCAAGTTAACACAGTAAATTGATACCTTTTCATCAACACCGTTAAAAAGATTTTCGACTCGTCTTTTTTTTTTTTTTTCCCTAACAGATTTAAAAGAATAGAGAAAGAACCAAATATCCGCTTCCTGGTAAAACTTGTTACCTTAGATTCAAATTTTCGATGCAAAAAGATGTATAAAGAAGAGAAAAACGTTAAAGAAAAAAGGCTTACTCTTCGGCGAAGATGAAATTCAACAACAGAGATGAAGTTTTAATCGCACCGAACTTGATTAGGGTTTTGCTTGTTCCTCTCGAATCGACGATAAAATGCAGAAAAACGCGAAGAAGAAGAAGAATCCAATGCAGAAACTAAAACAAGGAGAAAGGGTAAGGTTCCGTATATATGCTAAGTAGATGGCGGTGAGTTCAGCGGATCTCTTTTTGGATCCCCCGAACCCGAGACGGTTATGTAGTACACTGCTATACTAAAAATGTAACGCGTATTATGCTAAATATATATATAACGCGTGGCATAACATAAATATAGTAATACAAAAAATTGATTAAATTGAATTAAGTATAAACGTGTTTATCAAAATAAATAAATAAAAAAAATCAAATACAAACGTGAACAAAACTGTCCATTACAATCGGAGGATCCATTCTCCCTTTATAAGATAAGGGGGAAATAAGTTGGAGAAAATATTTCTCGCCATTTATATATCGATTTACATATTTTGTTTTTGACTTTAATGTTTTTAAAAATAAATGTAGATAAATTATTTATATTTACTCCTAAAGTGATATCTTTTTGAGTTGAAAAATTAAAAAATTATAATAAAAAATTATTATAACCCGGAAATAAATTATAATTATAAAAATATTTTAATTTTTACTTTAAAACAACGTCATTTTAGACTCAATATAAAAAAGTTATCTATAGAAAAATGAATTCTTTATTTTTTTTGTTTTTTTAACGGTGAAAGTGAAATCCACTACAAATATATGTACGTAGAAAAATTATTTCTACTCTCAGTAATTTGGAGAAAAACAAAGCCCTAAGATAATATGATATTTTGTTTCCACCGAGGCAAATAATAAACCGTACTTTCTCATCTTAAAATTAACCTGTTTTAAAATTGTTTCAAGTCCTCGCTGGATTTACAAGTTGCACACCGCGCCCGCGGTGCTTTCGTGTAACCTTTTCTTATTCTCTCTGGTTCACTATAAAAAAAAAAAACCAAATTTTATTATTTCATTTAAAATAATTAGGGAAGAAATATAATAGTCCATGCCGAATTTAGGGATAGCAAGCAACCCTCAAAATCTCATAATTGAAAAATAAAATAAAATTATACATAAATAAAAAGTGATTTTTTTTTTAAACAAAGTGAACTTTACTTTTGATGTTATACATCAAATGATAACTTATTTAATAAATTTAACTATATAAACATTAATATAAGATATTAAACCGGTTAAATAATTTAAGGGTTTCAATTTGGTTTCAATTTTCTTATATTATAAACACATCTTATGTGGGGCCCATATTTATTAAAAATAAAATAAAAAAATACTGCACAAAAATTGAATGATTACATATAAAAGAAAATAATTCTTCTATAATTTGAGAATTTTTTCCCCATAATTTAATAATATATTATTTAATTTAAGAGTAAACTAACAGTACTAAATACTAATGAATAATAATTAAATTCGTTCACAAAAAAAAAAGAATAATAATTAAATTCTTTAATTTTTTTAATATTTGAATCCTGCCCTACAAATAAGATATTTGTAAGTCAATTTTGTGCTTGTGTCATTACTTATTAAAAATATTATCTATCAATTTTAATATCTGTTTTGACCGTAATAAAAGAAAACAACATAATGCAAAGTTTTCTTTTTTCTATTATAAGCAATTCTTATGTTCGGAACTCGCTTTATTAGCCTAACTTAATGCACCGGTTAAAGTTATTCTAGCAGCTAAACTCAACACCATGGTAGTTAAAATTTTTATTTAAATTTGTAATTTTACGATTTTTTTTAATCATAACGATTTCATTAAAATTTCAAATGTTTTTACGCTCTTACAATTTTTTACGATATTTTTATGTTAGAATTTTACGATTTTTTATCCTCCTTCCGATTTTAGGTAGAATCCCAATTTTAATTACGATGCTCAACACCTTTAAAATGAGATAAAATGGTTAAGGCTCAGGCTCACCACTCTTTTATAAATTTTCATTTCTATAATTGAACATGCACATTTCTTATACTCTCTCACCTAAATGTTACTCGATCGAAATACAACCACATGGAAGTCACCGTGCTAATATTCGTTTACGTTGATTCCATTGTAGAATTTTGATCTATATCATTACCTCATTAATTCATTATTACATCAACCTACTAAATTCCTATTGAGAAACAAATCTAATCCGAAAATACAAAGAAGGATTCTGTTATTACTTAGGAAATTATTACTATGAAATGCTCAACGAAAAACGTGGCATTTGATAATTTTTTGTTCAATCAAAATATAGGCAAATATCTGTATAAAAAAAATTACACGAGCATTTTTCCAATTATAAGTCCATATGGAAATTAATCCTTGAAAGTGAGAACTCATTGTATGATGGGCAATTCGGCAAATTTAACATTCAATTTGCTTGTGGTAAACTTACAGCTTATTGACAATTTATCAACGACCTTGGTGCATCGTGACACAAAATTAGGTGATAAAAGACCCTTCAATTTAATCAAAAATAATAAATTAAAAACTTGATACTTATATATTTGTAAAATTAACGTACAATTTATAGCTATTCATAGAATGTATATATGAATGTAAATTTTTTTAGTAAATATTTGAGTTAAAAAATACATTTTAGTGAACATAGAAAAATGTAACTAATCGACCACAAATTTTTATTAATATAAATTAAAGTACGAATAAGATTGTGATATTGAATAAGTTTTCTTTTATTAACCTAAATCTAGAATGAATTTTATCAGTATCAGTAACGTAATAACTTATAATATGAGATATTTGATATTTTAAACTATTTTTTTATCATATTTATTATATATTTCAAAGTTTATATCATACTTATAAAAAATTTAAAATTCGTTCTAATTTAAACAGTTACAGGTTAGATTAAATTGAATTTGAATTTAGAACCAAATCAATTCGATCTAATTGTTGCCATTTGCATTTTATTTCACACAAAAAATTTATTCCAAAAACTATGCTTCCCTCTTTACTCCATGCTAAATCAAGCTTCACCACAAGTTGAATGGGTGAGGGAAAGAATCAGTTAGACACCATAAATCCACTTCTCCCCATTGCCAGTGTAATCAACCAACTCCTCTGGCTTAAACCACAACTTAATCTCGTCCTTGGCAGTCTCTGGACCATCACTTCCATGGATGGTATTTCTGCATGTACGTGTAACAATCATATTATGATACAATTAACCAAATTATGGACAATGCATGTATAGAAAGAGATTAGCTTGAGCAAGAACCATTTGATCACGTGATAAAGAGTTTGTTCTTGTTAAATATATGTCTCGAGTACTAGCTCTTAAATGCAGAAAATGGTTTTACTAGAGCCACCTCATATGAGTCTGATCATGCTCGAAAATGAACATGAAAATTCAAAAATAAATAAATAAAATAGTATGTCTAATTGAAAAAACAATACCTTCCAATAATGACAGCCAGGTCACCTCTAATAGTTCCGGGTTCTGATTTTTGCGGATCTGAGGCTCCATTTAGCTTTCGGCCATAGGGTATAACTCCCTGGCCTTCCCAGACCTGTGACATGATTTTTTTGGGGAATAAAATAAGATAGACAATATATTAAAAAAGTTAGGTTGTTTTGAATTTTTCAATCCCTAAGGGACAAGATTGAGTCAATTCTAACCATTGCAACAACAGGTCCAGAGCTTAGGAATTCACACAACTCATTGAAGAAGTGTCTTTCCTTCAGGCCATGGTAATGGTTCTGGGCAATTTCCTTCGAAGGAACTAATACTTTAATTCCCACAAGCTTGTACCCTTTCCGCTCAAAACGAGATATAATCTCTGCAACCTACAAAAGAAACATTTATGGCACCAGGTGCAAACAAAGTTATATATAATTATATGAGAAGGGTTATATTGACAATTTTTTTTTTTTTTTTGTACAAATTTAAAAATTACACTGTCTCATAAGTAAGATTTCATTCAAAAGTGTCTTACCGGTAAGACATAGTATAATTTGTAAGAATTTATAATCGCTTAGTTATATTCTATATACTCAATGCCTCACAAACAAAAACCATAAAGAACTGCTAGAAATATAGTTTCAATTTACCAGCCCTCTCTGCACTCCATCAGGCTTAATGGCAATGAAAGTACGCTCCAGCTGAGCAGGGAAAAATGAACACATGATTTGCACATAAGAATCATATAAAGAAAAAAGAAAGAAAAGAAATTGAAAATAGACACGCAGATGCAGTTAGAGAAATATTGAACATACCTCAGCAGCATGCACCTCCTGATCTTGGAGCATGTAAGCTGCAAGACAAAGAAATTGAAAAATAAAGGGAAACATTTAAGATATGAATATATGTAGATGCACACTAAAATTGCATTTTTTATAGAACAAAACCAGATTATCTAATATTACATTTTTAAACACCCGAGGCTTTATCTCCTTCTCAATAACATGCAATTTAAGAGAAATACACGACAATAAATTGTAGTTGTCAAACTAGTATGCAGGACACGACATGGCAATTCATAATGCACTTGTTTATCTTCAGTCTTCATGTATGTACTTTAATACATTTGCCAGATAATAGAAACAGAAAGTGGATGTCTTATTTTTGAAGAAGGACATTATTATTGTCGAAACCTGCAGCGGGAAGAGCGAGAGCTCCTGAAATCCATGATCCGGGTCCACTTCCTGAACCGGCCCTTGCATAACTTGAAGCCAAAAAAGGCACTTTACTCGTGAATGAAACTGCAGCACCTACCGCACGCCCTTCTGCAAAGATAATGATGGGAATTGAAAGAAGAGTGAGACAGTGAATTGGGGGACAATGAGACAAAAGGAGTGTGAGATTAAGAAGAGTGAACATGGGAAACGCATGAAGTACCACAGTAAAAACGAGAGCCCTTAGAAGCAGAGAGAAGGGACCTCACGGCTCTAGAAGCAGACCTGCAAACCTGAGTAGTCATGTTTGATGGTTTGAGAGAGTGATGCCTAATGCCGTATGTCTCATTCGTACATGCCACTAGTGTCCCTCGCGTTGCTTATAGTTATTCTTTTGTTTAAAAAAATATATATATTTTTATTTGAATAAAAAGAAAGTGGAACCAATTGCATTTCATTTCATATTGGAAACATATTTTTCAGTTAGATGGAAGGTGGACAAGAAAAAGGCAAAAAGAATAAGAAGCACTAAACGGGAAGAAAAGAAAAGAAGGTTCTCCAGAAAATGACCCCACGGACGAAGTCGATTGGGGGGGAAGAACAAGTTCAGTTGTGTAACACAAGCCAGAAAGCTCTTTCTCACTAAAGAATGGTCTTCCCGTCATATTTGATTTTCACTCTTTGAGTCCATGCTTTGCTTAAACAATTGACATTATGCATACAAAGTATGCCACCAGCATATACCATATTCATAATTCTATTTAAATGATCCATCATCAAACCCAACCCATATCACTAAATGTTCAGGCATAAGAACTTAATTTAAGATTCCAATGCTAAAATATATATATATACATGGAAGATCACCAGCATTGCAAGGTTTACAAGTTTAAAACCTAATGGGTCAATCAAGTCCCGGGATGAGCCGAGACTGACAAACAAATCATCGGTCTCTATTCAATTACTGCCATCTTATGTAGTATGTACAAGAATTTTTATTTTTATATTTTTTACAAAAAGAGTTCATAGCATTAGTGCCATATTTACACTTGTAGCTTGGCTTTCAAGCCATCTTGAACTCATCAAACAAGGTGTAAAATATGTTACGTCTCTATTGAACCATTGGGAGTTGATGTATTATCAGATTCCAATTTGCAGTCAGATTGTAAAGCTGATATCCATGAGTCCACCTGAAAGGAGAATAATGGAGGGAACTGTCATTTAATATGATGACAATGTGTGTTGCATGTGATTAGAAGTTAGAAGTTCATCATCAAAAAATAAGGATGTAAATTACTTAGTATCAGCTCAGACTATGAAAGGTAATAAAAAAACTACCTCTGAGAAACCAATTAAGTTAACACACCTGCATCTCAGAACTGCTTGAGCATTCATATCGTAATCCATGTCGTGTTAAAATATAAAAGGCATATCGCATCTCATCATCTTCACGCTTAAAACTTGGTAATTTGTCTACTTCAACAATATCAGATAGAAGCGTTGAGTCCAGAGGACTTAGATCTGCAATTTTTCCCCCTTCATCAGGAATTGTAAATGAAAGCCGGTCATCTGAAAGCTTAAGAATAAATATATTTGATAGAGCCAACCATGGGTGCACATTTAGTTTTGTTAAAAGATATTAGTAAAAACCAAACTTGGGCCTAAATTTTGACAGTTTGGTTCATGACATGAAAGTTTTTTCTACCAATCTAGGTGAACTAGTCAAAGAATGAAGATGGAGATCTATTTCCCGTATGGGTTAAATATGTTGATCTGACAGAGACAGGAGAGACAATGGTTTGGACTAGAACTCTAAAGGGTTACCATACTCGTCTCAGATTGAATGGGAGAGGTGTGTTTAGGGCTTGAGGAAGGATTTCTGCATAGTAATAGCAGTAGAAGGCGAATGGAAAAGATGGAGATTTGGAGAGACGGATGTTCCTTTATATATGATGGAGGAGATTCCCTCCGGTGCGTAAAGCGTGATGTCATAACCATTTTCAGCCCTGCGGATCCCACTAGGGTGTGAGACTGTGTGACCCCTAACTTGTAAAAGGTCATGTATGCATGGGAGACGTGAGGGGACACGTGTACAGGGAAGTCATGTGCTCTACGAGTTAAGTGGTGGTGGTGGTGGCCTTGCCAGGGCAGCCATAGGGACTGGACGGGCAAGGCCATCCGACTAGTCCAGAACACTACGTAAGAGGCTTCTCTAAAGTGAGCTTGTTTCAAAAGCAAACCAGTAGAAGTGTATCACCCATGAGTAACTTAAGATCACGATTCACTTTAAATTAAATCAAGGAGAGATGCATTCTTATTTTCTCACCTTAAAAATAAGTTCATTTTAAAGGAGTCATATCCCAAAGTACTTCCCTTGGTGCCCCTACTCTGGCAGGACATATGATCTGTCTGGGCTTTCATGTCTGTTACGGATATTAATTAAAAAGATATTACTGGACCTTTCGAAAGTTACTTAATCTTTTCTATTTTTCTTTTTCCTGTACAAAATATTTTCGAAGTGTTGGTTTTCTGATTAGACATCTTTAACGGAAGAAGTTTCAGTATGAAATGTCGATTTTCAAGAATAAAAGTCAATGACAAAGACAAACACAAACCAAGTATTGCAAAATTAACTAGCCAGTAGTGAGCAGGAAGTGTTCCATAATAGCTAGGAATATATTAAAAACAAATAATAAAAAAGGAAACGCGTAAATCTGGCAATCAGGAAGTTTTATCTCATCCACCATAAATGGGAAAAGCATAAATGCAATTTATCTACAGAAAATAGAAGTGTAAGCCCAGTAAATCTACATGTTCTGGTAAGTAATATCATACATATAACTAGAAAATTAAGATCAAGTTACTCCATAGTAAAAACAAACATCAAGAAACATGTCAATCCACAAAATTTTCATTGACTAAAACAGTTGAAGTGCTGCATGTTTAGCAAAATTTGCATACAATTCATATCAAGTACATTAACAAATAGAATCAATAACCCTAAATAAATTTTTTTCCTCATTCTACGTTTTGTCATTGAATTTTCTTACATGCATTCCAGGATTAGCATTAAAGATTTGGGACGAACACAAACATATGCACCAAAAGAATATAAGTTACGCAATATATTAATAAGCCAGTAAGAAATGAAAAAATAGAGAGGAGTGAAAGAGCAAAAGGAGATATAAAGAACACATATTCACTTCTCTAAAGTTGAATACACTAATCCGAAAACAAAATAAATATGAAAAATGAAAACCTAACAAGATTAATAGGAGTTGGTAGCAAAAGAAGACTACATTACCTGTACACAGCAAATATAAGAATAGACATGAACCGTGAAGAACAACAAAGCGAGGAAGCCAATCGTCTATATCAGTATCATCCATAGGTGGAGGTTCGCCTGGAAGTGCTGTCCATCTCTATAGAGAAAAATCAAAAGCAAATTAGTACTAAACCTGTTAGGTAAATAATATTACGAAACAAACTGATACAAGGCAAACTAATGGAGGTTTGGACAGTCAGTACAGTTCGAATGTATAAATAGCCACAGAGACGAGCTGACCGCAAAATTTCATCAACATTCTCCAACCTGTGTGAAACAAAAATATTAAAATTATTTATGCAGAACACATCTGTGACTCTCAAGGCATGTAAAAATTCCCCAAGGGTAGGGAAAAGATTGAATACTAAATTTCCCTGGTTTTTCAATGTAGCAATTTCAACCTCCAACAGTGAGAACCTGCCTTATATTACAGCAGGAAAAGTCATTATTAAGGAGTGACATGGAGAACAATGAAAGAAAAAGGAAATCAAACCTCATTTAATCCCTATTCCCTACTACTCAAACAATCACACATGTCTAGCCTCCAAATCTATAGCTAGCATTTGAATTTGTTATATACAATGTCTTTGGTAATCTTATCAATAGAGAAATAAACAAACACAAGAAGAAAGGTAACCCACAGAAAATTGCCATTTGACTAATAGTTTAAAGTTCGAATCGCTTACTGAGCTTTCAAGTGAGCTTCCCTCTCTTCTATATCAGCAAGTTCTGATCGAAGTGACTCTACTTCAGCAGCTGTTAGCTCAACCTACAAAATATAATTTGTCTTGGTAAGATATAAGAGAACCTTCACCAATGACAAAGGAGCAATGTGCAAAAGCTTCTCAATGCAAACCTTTTCCTGACCACCATTACTGAGGCCCCATGGCAGCCCAGGAAGAGTAAACGATTTCAACATGAAAGCAGCCCTTAATGTTCTTCGAGTCCACAGATGGTACCAGGACCTAAACTAAGCTAGGTTGAGTGATTGATTTCAAATAGAGTCAAACTCTCTTAATGACTTTCTAATTATTGATTTCTTCTTTTCCTTTTTTCCATGAGGAAACAATACCTCAAAGATTTATCAGGTCCAGATTCTGCAATTGAAGGTGTTCCACTATCAAGAGATTCTACACCTGATGTTGGAACTTGAAAATGATCAGGGATGACCTTTATTTTTCCAGGACCATCATCCATGAAATTGACCTTCTTTAAGAAGGAAAGGCAAACCTATATAAGAGGAAGACAGTAATGATAACTGCAAACAATGAATTATCCTGAAGATAAAAGCTTGTTCCATTGAATTAACAGCAGTCTTCCTTTTCTTTTAAGGTAAAAAAGAAGCAACTCTTCAATGAAGCTCACATAAGCATATTATTCTCTAACAATATCCTCCGCTTATTATCTCACAAAGCAAGACTAATACATGGTTAATTAGTTAGATTAAAAAACTCCAAAGAAACCAACACATTGCATACTATTTTCTCTTTTAAAAGCAAAATACCGATTCCCCCAACATAAAAGCTCTGATGCACAACTAAAATAGTTAGAAGTAAATACTAAACGACATTTATACACCTTGAAGAATGGAAGTCAGAATAAAAAGCAGATCACTCCAAAATAACTCTGTTTCACCTTGAACGAAAAATAAAATAAAATAAAATAGAAAAAAGAGAGAGAGAGAGAGAGAGCAAGGAACAGTACAAAGCGAAAGCCATATTTGCTAATTTAACCCCGTTTCTCTAACAGCAACGATCGCAGATAAACTCGTACATGTGGTTTGTATGAATCGTTAAGGTGGGTGGGGGGAAAATAATGAAAAGCTTATTCTTCAATAAATTAAACAAGTACAAAACAGCACGCAAGTTACAATCCGCAACCAATAATTCTTCGAGGATAACAAAGAATAAAGTGAGTTATTTATTTATTTATTTTAGTTAATAAATAATAATACAAAGAATACAGAAAAAAAAAAAAAAAAAAGTGTTTTTGTGTGTTGGTTGGTACCTGTGGTTGTGGAAGGAGGAGGAGAGAACGAAGGTAGCTACTGTTTACGCAAATGAATTTCCTCGAAGCCCGAGACACGTCACACGGGTGTTCGGTATCCTTGATTATTTAGAATTTAATACTTTATTTGCTTACGGCGGTTGGTTGTTGCTCAAAATGGAATATTTTCTCAAAAGAAGAATCTCTCAATGGAATATTTTGAATTGGTAATTATATTTGATTTTGTTAATTGAGACCGTTGTATTTATAAATTTTTACAAATTATATTATATACTTTTGTTGGAAGTACACTAGTTTATATTAATTTATAAAAATTTGTAAAAAAAATTATAAATGGATGTTTTCCCTTCTTAGATAATGGACTGGGAATTTCACAAACTTGCAAGCAAACTAAATGACAATTAACGTAGCACTCTTCACGAAGATCTGACTAGTATGAATTAAAACATAATCAAATGAAAACTTGGACGGAACAGAGATCAAAAACAGAAAAAGAAATTTATTTTTTTAGTTTAAGAAAAAGAAAAATTTAATTACATGATACCATTGACATAAACAACCCTTTTTAATAACAACCCTTTTTAATATTGAACTTGACAAGAGTAAATGTAATAAGGCTTATTGTTCTGCACTTTGGCGCTATTAGCATGACCATTAGTATTCTTTTTTTTTTTTTTAGAAAACTAGTATTCTTCAATGGTATGGAAAGGGCCTTTTGAATTATCCAAAAGCACGATCCAAGGGCCCTTTGGGCCTCATTATAATACGTCCAAGGACAATTTAAGGAACAGCGTATATGGGAAAGACAAAAAATAAATAAAAAAATAGCAATACAAAATTACAACGAAAATGATACTTCTTAACTCAACGAGAATCTATGATGCACGGACACGGAACACGACACGATACGCTGACACGTTAATTTTAAAAAAAGTCATATTTCAACACGTTGGGACACGTTTTGATATTAAATAAAATTTTTAATATATAATATAATTTATATTTAATACATATAAGAGTCCATAATAAGTCATATAACCAATCAAATATTTAAATTTCATAACATAAATATAAATATAAATATAAATAATTTTTCGTACTTTATTAATTTTTCATCTCAAATTTTATAACAGAAAAAAATTAATTTATAAATTATTTCTTTTATATTTAGTTAACAAAATAAAATCAAGATTAAAAAAAAAAACGTGGTCGAGCGTGTCCGAGCGTTGATTGCGTGTCGAAAAAAATTGACTGCGTATCGAAAAACGTGTCGGAGAGCTAACCGCATGTTCCCAAATGTTGACCGCGTGTCCGAGCTTGTCGGAGTGTGTCCGTGTCTGACACGCAAATTTTCCAAAAAGGTGCGTGTCGTGCTATATAGACGAGAATATTTCAATTGGCAACATAGACTTAGTAGGTGGAGAAAGAATCTGAATTTAATTCTTATCAAATATATCTTGAAGCTTATGGAGATATCTTGTGGACGCCTTGTCTTAAACAGATAATTAGGATTCGGTATACCAAAATAATAATAATAATGATACTTCTTAATTTGGTATAAATAACTTTCTCACAATTCACAAGCTCTCGTGTAAGCCATTAATCTTAGAAGGTGTATTGAGTTGAGATTTCAAAGAATTTTAATAGATTATTTTTGGACAAAAAATATCCAATGGTATTCAATTAGGATTTTAAAGGATTGAAAAAAAGTCACGTGGTATTCAATTAGAATTTTAAAATATTATTTTAGAGTTCGTCCAAATCCGTTGGTATTCAAACATGATTTAAAAAAACGGAAAAATAATCTTGTGGTATTCAAAAATTTGACGATTTTAATGGATTTTCTATTGGTGTGGATTTCGTGAGACTTTTTAATGAGAAATATAAATAGGATGCCTCTCTCACAATCTCATCCTAACCCCTAAGATTTCTTGAGATTTCTCTATTATAGTGTCTTCTTCTTCCTTTGGTAGGTCAATCTGCTCTAAATCAGATTCCGTCGTGGGAGCTTCTTCAAAGCTTAAAAATAACATATTTTTTAGCGATTTTTATCACAAAACAACCAAGAAACAACAAACCAACAAGATTTTAATTTAATCCATCTCAAAAACCACAGATTTTTGATAGTTTTTGGAAGTTTAAAAAATAATTTTTCAAGCTATTGGTCGCAATTTTTTTGGCACTAAAATGTTTGCTTTTTGTAATAAAAACAACATAAAATAGTGGAAAAACAAAAAGGGAACAAAAATCCCCCAAATCAATTTCGATTTAAAGAATGATTGAAACTTTCATAATATGAACCCTATGTTTCATAACAATTCATTAATGAACGAAATTCATTCGCTACAGGAAACGATTTCAAACAATTTTTGTAGCAATAGACCATTAAAAACTTTTTTTGTCAAAAGCCCCAAAGCAATTTAAGGTTTCAATGTATTGATTGAAAATAATTTCAGAGATTTTCTAAATTTTCATGTAATAAAATCCAAAAATTCAGATTCAAAATTTTCTTAGAATACTCAATGAAAACATGTTTATGATATACGGTTAGAAAACTCTCATCACGTAGAATAAAAACCCCAAGGTTTACAAGATCAATTAAAAAAAATTCCAAAAAAAATTTTATTACGAAATTTAGTGATTGAGAAAATTATATTAGATTTTACTCTCTTTTTTTGAGTAAAGTCCCTTTTGGGTCTCTAACAAAAAATACGGTCCCCACTTTCATCCCTTACAAAAAAAAGTCAACTTTTGGTCCTTCTACAATTCCAGTTCTTTGAAAATATAATCCCTCAGAGATTCAATGAAGACCCAATTTAGTACCTAAAAAAGGACTAATATGGGTATTTTTTTTATAAAGGATGAAAGTGGGGACATTTTGTTTTGTTAGGGACCCAAAAATTTGGCTTTACTCTTTTTTTTGCTAATATCATTGCGTTTCTTTGTTATTTTTTATTGGCTCCTGTAATTTTGAATGTTTATTAAAAATTCATATGGTAAATCTATATTGTCCTTTAAAATCTTATAAATTCTATTAAAATCCTTTTAAATCCAATCTTACGAAATCTTGATTATAAAAAAAAGTCTTCTAAAAAAGTCTTTAAAGTTTCTTTAATTCTAAATAGTCTTTTAAAATTTATAAAAAAATTTATCTCAAAAAAATCTTTTAATTTCCTAATCCAATACACCCCTTTAGATTATAACTTGGTGTTACTCTGACATCTTTTAAATAATTTTGATGAGTCCTTTTTTTCTTTTCAGATAGTCACTTTATCTTAAAATGCAAGAAGAGTTTAGGATAATAAACTTTATGTAAATATTATTATTAAATTATAATGCACAACATTTCTGTTGGATATGGCTCATACTTCGCATGCTGATGATGACCCTTGTTGTCGGGGTCAACAGATCTATTGTAATTTTCTTAGTAGTTTGGACTTGGACTCATGAATAACTGTTGTTAGAGTTTTTCTAATCCTATTTATATTCTCCTTGTAAACCTAGTGACTTGTAATGTGTGGCGGTGAGGCGAATATAGTACAGTTAAGCTGAACGTACCCTATATTGAGTGAACTAAGATAAATCACTCTGTAAATCTCTCTTCTCTTTTCTCTTTTTTGTTTTGTCAATTTTGTGTGATTGTCGATTTCGAACCATTTCTGCTTTGTTGCATGAGGAAAAATTAGGAAACAAAAAAAAAAAGAATTTTATTTACAAAATTTTAGTCTAAATCTCTTTGCTAGTTAAAATGTTGCAGGATCGCAAACATGCCAATTAGGTTTTTGATAACAAGATTGGTTGGTGATATTCTCTATTGGTATATTCAAGTGTGATAGAGTCTTTTATTGGTTGGATAGTAATAGGTTAAGTGAAGTGTATATAAGTAGAAAGATTCATGAACCCATTTAGTATGATTGGTCTAACTTAGCCTATTATTAGTGGTGATCTCTTGTCATAGGCTCTTCTTGACCTGCCTAATAGTAGTATCATAATCGGGATGTTCTCAAGCTATTCTGGTGTTAACGAGATGCGGATTTGGTATGTGGGCTTGTAGTATTAGAGAAGAACATACTAATGTGGGGTTTCACATATGAGGAAGAGATTATTAGGATATTCAATGTGATGTTGTCTAAGTGAAGTTGATGTAAGTGGAAGAATCCATGAACTCAATATCTTAAGGTTGATGTTTTGGATTAAGAAATAGTATCAGACCCACTTATTATGATTGATATAACTTAATCCATTCGTAATACCTTCCGCCATGGACTACACTGTCTGACATTTTTATTTTTTTTTGGTCACCATAGTAGAGCCGGACGAGATAAGCAAGAACTAATGCTCTTTTTAAATTTTGCTCTTCGTTTTAAAGCAACTAATACAAAAATATATATTGTGCGCAAGAGCGCTGCTGTCTTAGGTTATGGTCAAGAGTTTTGTGCGAAGTTAAGTGAAATAATTTATTAATTTTTAATTAAACGTCCGTTTGAACTTGGGTAGAGTGAAATGGGGAACAATATGCTAAAAAAAAATTTCTGTGAAAGAAATTTTGCTATCTTTTATCTAACATGAAAAAAAAAATGAAAAGTAATAACGTTTTCATTTTAAACCTTCCGATTCTAGACATATAAAAATAGAAGATTAGGAGAGCATGATTTGGTTTGCGTTACTATCATTTTTGTCAATTTTAAGCTTTATTACTTTTGAAACTTTCAAACAGTGGCTTTGTTCCATTTTCTCTCCGTCCTATAAATCGAAACATATATTGGCCTAGGTAAAATTAGAGATGGGGATTAGCTGTTTTCCAAAAGAAAAAAGAAGAAGAAGAGAGAGATGGGGGATTAGCATGTCAACATATTTACACACAATTACTAAACAATTATTCAAATATTGTAACTATTAAATCAGAATATTGTGATTTGATACCTTTCACTCAAGTTCTGTCATTTCTTTGAAGCATATTGCAAATATATATTGATCTGGTTGTATACTAAACGGCACAAAGGTAAAGACGGAAATATGTCTATAACGTGTGTGCTCAATCCCGGAAGTAAACAGCTAAACTTGCAACAATATAAGA